CAAATACCAAAATCCCACTCCTATGAAGGAAACCCAGGAGTCACGCGTGCTCACACACAGCTCCCACGTTTTAGGAGCCATATCTCGATTTCTCAGTTGACTCTGAGGAAACAACTTTCTGACGATCTAAGCGAGGCAATATTTTTGAGTGCTCAGCCATTAAAAATTTTGCTTCTGAATCTGAATCTACCTGGCAGGGGAGATACCATGATCACGAAGGTGGTTTTCCCAGGGCGAGGCTTATCCATTGCACTCCGGATGTGCTGACCCCTGCGATTTCCCCAAATGTGGGAAACTCGATTTTTTTTTTTTGGCAGAGCCTGGCAAGCTCCCCGTGACGTATTCGATATGCCAAACACAGTAACAACAAAGTCTCCAACAGAGACGTTACTGGGCCCGCTCGAGCAAATCAACGAACAACGAGAGGGCCTTTACCTTTACCTTTACCTGAGTCTACCAGAAATGATAGGAACTGGCTCTAGGATTGTAGGGGTGTGTGTGTGTGTGTGTGTGTGTGTGTGTGTGTGTGTGTGTGTGTGTCTATGTGTTGGTGTGTGTGGGAGGATTGGTAAAAAGAGAAACATGACTCCTTGGGGGGGAGCATATCTATTATACAGAGAAAAGTGGAGATTACAGTGGTTAACAGGAAGAATTTCAACTAAAGTGAATTATTTAGTGGGTTCTGGGAATAGCTCCACCATACTCGTTCCACTGAACATATGGCAGCCAACTTCCTTCAGACTTCCAGGAACTGACCTGTTTGCTCCCTTCTGCTCTGGAGAATAAACAGGCCCCGATGACCCTCCAGGGCTCGTTGGGGGCCAGACACAAACAGACCTCTGTCGAAGCTTCACATGATGCGGATGATTTTCTGGTTTTGTTGAGATAAGTTTGTTTCACACATTAAAGAAAACAAAACCCGGGGCAGGAGCAATAGCATAGCAGGTAGGGCGTTTGCCTTGCACGTAGCCGACCTGAGTTCAATCCCCGGCATCCCATATGGTCCCCCAGCACCACCAGGAGTAATTCCTGAGTGCAGAGCCAGGAATAACCCCTGAGCATCGCTGGGTGTGACCCAAAAAGCAAAATAAATAAATAAATAAATAAAAAATAAAAAAAGGATATTTAAATTTCTATACATAAGAAAGAAATTCCAACATTAAAATTCCTTACTCGGGGCTGGAGCGATAGCACAGCAGGTTATGCATTTGCCTTGCATGATTCCCAGCAACCCCTGCACATTGCCAGGTGTGACCCAAAAAGACAAAAAAAAAAAAAAATTCCTTACTCTATTAGAACTTCAGGCCAATTATTTTACAAGTCATTTCCCCCCCAGTCTTTGTACTTCAATAGATGAATACCAAATCTAGGCAACTCTCCTCCAACCTTGAAAAATGAGATGCAGGAGAATTTCAGTGCAATCCTTTTGACAAAGCTTGACATCCCTTCCTATAATAGAATGTGACCGTGTTTAGCAACTATATACACATACATACTTTATTGAAATAAAGCCTTGGGAAATTAAGGATTGGTCTGGAGAGATAGCAGGGAGCAATGTGTTTGCCTTGCATGCGTCCAAGCCCAGTTTGAATCGATAGCGCCCCATATGGCCCCAAAGCACAGTAGTAGTCCCAGAGCACAGAGAAAGGAATAAGCCCTGAGCACTGCTGGGTGTGATTCCCAAATAAACAGAATTCAAGAGCTATTTTCAAACTTTGCCCTTCTGTAAACTGTGTATCTGCAGGGTGGAAGAGAGAGTACAGGGGTGAAGATGCTTGCCTTGTATCCAGCAAACCCCAGTTCAATTCCTAACACCGTACCTGGTCCCCCCAAGCACCGCTAAGAGTGATCCCTGAGCACAGAGCCAGGAGTAAGCCCTGTACACTGCCACTGGTGGTCCAGCACCAGAATAAGAACAACAAAGTGTATTCATAGATGTGGCAGGACACAAACTTGAACATCTCTATTGGAAGCAGTCTCTTAGCAAGAAGAGTTAGGTTGAGGTCACTGAGTAAATTCAAGGCTTGGACTGGCTCACGTTAGAAGGAGCTCCCAGGTTATGCTTAGAGCAGACGGGGAACCTCTCAGAGCAGAAGGCTTTGTGACCACAGCCATATGCCCCTGTGACACTATATTCCCATGACTTCCTCCCAGGATCAAGGACCACATGAAGCGGGGTTCACAGCACCTCACGGTGACTCTTATTCAAACTTCTAGTGAATAAGCCCAGAGTAGATCATGCCTGAGCTGCAGTTCACTCCCATCCTGCTGGTTTTTCTTGTACATTTTTTTTTATTTATTTAATTTTGGTTTGGGGGCCACACCCAGCAATGGTCAGGGATCACTTCTGGTAGACTTGAGGAACTACTGTGTGCAAGGGCAAGCACCCTACCCACTGGGCTCTCTTTCCGGCCCCTTTCCTTGCATGTTAATGTCCTTCAAAACGTCTCTGTACTGTCTTCAGTTTTTCTTCTGCTTTGTTCTAACAAGATGGAAACTGCCACAATTAGAAAATGAACACAAATAAGAGAGATAATCTCCCCATCCAAAACACACACACACACACACACACACACACACACACACACACACACACACCCCATGGGTGAAAAAGAAGGCACTTCCCTGTTTTTCTAATTTCCTGCTCAGCTTGCCTCCCAGCAGGAGGGGGAAAGAGACCCTCCTCATTCACTTTATTCAGTGAACAATCTGAAAATCCTGAGGTTCAGACAATCCTGGGGAACTAGGGGTCCTTGGTCCATGGTGGCAGCCGTGAGATGGTGGATGCTGAAGCCCTTGGCTAGTCCAGAGATGAAGGCTCTGCTCACTCCACACCAGCTCTACACCTGGACCCGAAGGCTTGACCCGATGGCTGCAGGCAGCCAGGCCTCAGCATAGTCCTGCGGGTTGTGGACGGGAACCTGCCATTTCCCTGCCTCAGCTTTTCAAGGAACATGGGGCAAACACCCTACGTGCAATTTTTGCGGCTCAGGGACCCAGGAGTTTAGAGCAGCAACCGAACTCATCTGGGCTTTGTGCTAAAGGCAGAAACCAGGCTCCACCTTGACCCTCAGAATCACAGGGGACACTGGGGCTGGCGCCAGGGACCCCTACATTTTGCCCAGATGACAGCATTACTCGGAGCCCTGGACTTTTCTAAGCCAGTCCTGTAAGCTCTACATAATGAGAGCCTGGTTCTGGCCTGAAAATCAATAAGGAAAAGTCTCTCTCCCTCTTCCCATGAGCTAACGGCTGGGAAACAGCAAGACGGAGGTTATTCCTCGGTCAGGCTTACTTTAGCACACAAAGGCCCTGGGAGGGAAATGGGGAAGGTGAAAGGTCACATCACACACACCCAAGAACAAGCACATGTTGTAAATGACCCCAGGCGACCCCATAATTCAGGAGTCCCCAGAGAACCTCTAACTGCCAAGGCCTCCAGTTAAAAGACCCTAAGAGCAAGACCAGTTCAGAAATTTGAATCTCTTAATTATATTTCTTCTCCTTTTTCTTTTTCCAGTATGTAACTTCTTTTGTCAATGTTTTCTGCTTGCTTGCTTTTTAGTACTTTAAACAACCACCAACTTAGAATCAGCCACCAACTTAGAATATAAACATTTCCTGCTTTCTGGTATTTTCAGTAGGAAGAACACGGGGGTGATGAGAAGCCCAAAGAAATGAAAGAACAAACCCAGCATTGCCGTAGACCAGCTACAATCTTGGTAGAGTGATGCTAAAAGAAAAAAAGCGAGAGAATCGAGCCCGGCAAGCTACTGAGAGTATCTCGCCCGCACGGCAGAGCCTGGCAAGCTCCCCGTGACGTATTCGATATGCCAAGCACAGTAACAACGCGTCTCACAATGGAGACGTTACTGGGTCCGCTCGAGCAAATCAACGAACAACGGGAGGACAGTGCTACCGTGCTACAACTTTACTTTAAGGGACTAGTCACATGCACACACAAACGCTTTGATATCTTCAGAGTGACGAATGTTTCTAAACTCACTTCCCTCCTAGTAACTGGAAGAGGTACACCATAGTTAAGCCACATCTCAGCTTCTTTGCCTTAATATTTCACTATGGGACTGGAGAGGTAGTACAGGGGTCAAGGAGCTTGTGGCTGGCCCCTGTTTAATTCCTGGTATTGGCCTATGGTCCCCTGAATGCTCCTGAGAACCTCCAGGTGTGGCCCAATCCTTCCCAAATGAATATTTCACTTCAATTCTGTGACCTGTTTCATATCGCTTCTGTGTTATAAATATGAAAATATTGCAGAGAATGCTCTGATGAGGAAGGAGACTGATATCTCAATGGTTAGAGTGCATGTGCCCAGCCCAGGGGGGTTTGTTTGTATGTTTTTCACTTATGAGCCCCACCGGGTAGTGCTTAGAACTAATTCCTGGCTCTGTGCTCAGGGATCACTCCTAGCAGGGCTCAGGAAACCATATGCAATGCCAGGGATCAAATCCGGGTCTGCTGCATACAAGGTAAATGCCCTATTATCTCTCTGCTGCCCCAACCCAGGTTTGAGTTCTAGCACTACGTGATCCCCCCTGAATCGCCAGGTGTACCCTTGGAGGTCATCTACACCACCAGGTACCCATTCTCAGGCCTCACATCAATTCCCTGTTGGTCCTGTTGACCAAGAATCACAGTGGGGCCCCTGGCCTCCTGTGCCCCTTGCTGAAAGGAAATGCTCTGATGAGATGTAGCACGTCTTTATAGCCCTCATAAGTGATTCTGCCACATACTAAACGTGGGACTCCACACAAAAAAAGAAACAGCAAGGCTCTGTGTCAACTCCCCCCACCCCCATTATGTTCAGGGGCAACTCCAAGCAATGGGCAGATATTTCTCTTTTTTTCTCATTTTTTAAAAATTTTTAAATTTCACTTCATTTTTATGGGCAAACACTTCACGTGCTACAGCCATAGATTTCTTTCCTTATAATATCGTGTGCAGAGCAATGACTTCGATAGTTATCTCCTTCTCCTTTGCAGGGAACAGGCTAATTTCTACCTCCAAAGTGGCCCAGACAGAATCGGAAGAACATACAAGAAGGCCTTGTATGTTCAGTACACGGACAAAACCTACACAAAGACCGTTGACAAGCCTAAGTGGCTGGGCTTGTTAGGCCCCATTATCAAGGCTGAAGTAGGAGACACCGTCTACGTCCACTTAAAAAACCGTGCATCTAGGCCTTACACCTTCCACACGCATGGGATAGAGTACTACAAAGAACACGAGGGTAAGTCCAGCTCCTCCTTTTGCAGCTAAGATTTTCTGGGCAGTGAGAATCCTGTGGCAAGGATTTAATCGCTAGCACCCAGTTCCCTTCCAAGCAAATAGCCCAAACGGGAGAAAAAGGGAACATGTGTTAATCCAAGAGGAAGCCAAAATGCGGGGGAAGAAACACGCCTGGGAACAGAATCACCCTAGATTTGAAGTCCTGTGTAGGAATACGCCACGGCCATTGTGGCCTCCCAGCCGACCTTAGGGTCAGCTCTGTCCCAGCACAGCAGCTCTGGTTTCATCAGACATCAGTCAAATGGGGCACAGGACCCCACATTGCCTCAGAGGCCAAACCAAAGGGTCATTTGCATGGAGGAGTTAGACCACAGATAAGTGGTGTCTGAGACTGATGATGAGGCCGAGGGCGGTGATCACTAGCCTCATGCTTGATGGTGATGGTGACAGCAAAGGGGTAATATTTGGTTGTAATTAAGAGCAAGGGCTTCAAAATTACTAGACTAAAATTTGAAGACCATCTTTGCCTTTTATTGGCTGAGTGCCCTTGGCCAAGTAACTGAAATTTTCTGTGCTTCACCTTCACAGTATTTATACATATAAACAAATAGATACATACACATATACCTTCAGCTTCCCAATATCTATACATATAGATAGATATATGTCTATACCTATATGTATTTATAGATGGATAGATACATATATCTATATCTATATAGAGATACACATATATAGGTATCATATATACACATACATCTGTATCTATATGCATATATAATCTAATAAAGATTATGTGTATCTATATGTATATATAGATAAAGAGTACAAAGCAATAGCTTAAAAATGCCCACTATAGGACAAGAACTGAGAGTTAAAAGTAGGTGAAAGGATATTCTTGTGGGGCTGGAGTGATAGCACAGCTGGTAGGGTGTTTTCCTTGCACGCGGCTGACCCGGGTTCGATTCCCAGCATCCCATGTCATCCCCCGAGCACTGCCAGGAGTAATTCCTGAGTGCATGAGCCAGGAGGAACCCCTGTGCATCGCCGGTTGTGACCCAAAAAGCAAAAAAAAAGAAAGAATATTTTTTATAATTTATTTTGTGCTTGGGTTTTAATTACACAATGATCAAATGCCTATCCCTCCACCAGTGCCCATTTTCTACCACCACGAATCCCAGTATCCCTCCCAGACCCCATCCGCCCATCCCACCCTGCCTCTGTGGCAGGGTATTCCCTTTTGTTCTCTCTCTCCTTTTGCGTGTTGTGGTTTGCAAAAGAGGCATTGAGTGGCAATCATATTTGGTCTATAGTCTACCTTCAGCATGCTTCTCCCATCCTGGGAGGATCCTCCCAACACCCTTTATTTGGTGCTCCCTTCTCTATTTGAGCTCCCTTTTCCCCTAGCATGTGCGGCTGGCCTCCAAGCCATGGAGTAAACCTCCCGGTACTAATCTCGGCTATTCTTGGGTGTTAGTCTCCTATTTTGTTATTTTATGTTCCCCAGATGAATGCACTCAAAAAAAGAATATTCTTGATAATCTTTCATTATCAATATTGCAAACTACAATGCCCAAAAGGAGAGAGAGAGAGAGAGAGAGAGAGAGAGAGAGAGAGAGAGAGAGAGAAGAAAAGCGCCTCCCATAGAGGCAGGCAAGGGATGGGAGGGGGGTGGGAGGGTGGGAGGGAACCTGGGTACACTGGTACTGGGAAATGGTGGAGGGATGGGTGTTGGAACACTGTATGACTGAAATCCAATCATGAACAGCTTTGTAAGGGTCTATCTCACAGTGGCTCAATAAAAAAGTTTTTCTTAAAAATGCCAGCTATGGAACTGGAGCAATAGCACAGCGGGTAGGGCATTTACCTTGCACGCAGCTGACCCAGTTCGATTCCCAGCATCCCATATGGTCCCCTGAGCAGCGCCAGGAGTAACTCCTGAGTGCAGAGCTAGGAGTAACCCCTGAGCATCACCGGGTGTGACCCAAAAAGCAAAAGAAAAAAATGCCAGCTACATTATTAACAAAAATGTTGAGACCATGCGACAGCTTATACTGAAACTCTAAGGATCAAGTCTGGAAATTCAGATAAAATTATATTTGGTTGATTATTAGTTTTCTTTTTCAGATGAATTCCTTTAGAAAAATCAATATTATAACTATGTTATTTCAATTCTATCTATAACAAGGTCAACTAGGTATGAACGATTGGCCTTGAGCGAATCATGCTTAAAGGCAAACCGACATGGGCACTTGTCCTACTATTCTCCCCATTTTTGTGTCTGTTTGGAAATTTAAAGAATGAAAAGTAAAAGATGTTTTTAATTCCATGTTAACAAATCAGCAAAACATCAGATATCACATAAGAAGTTCCATACTATAGAACAAGCTGGCATTTTGCTATTTCCAAAATGACTTGGGGATGAAGACGGCTCATGAAATCACGAAGCAGCCTCTCACTGTGTTCCTGCCTGTTACTGCTCTCTGACACCTCAGCCAAGTCGAAAAAAAAATAATTAAATATTCTATATCATTCCCTGACCCCACCGCTTGGGGTGCTCTCCTTGCCCTCTATTCAAACGGGACAGAGTCAATAAGTATCTTCTTTCCCATATAAGTATTCTGTGGCTGCTCGAGGAAATCGATGAACAACAGGATGACTGTGACACTGTGAAGTATTCGTAACATTTTCAAAGGGACACACACTCAATGCTGACTAAATATGCGCTGACTGAATGAACAAACTATCAACTCTCTCGTTTCAAGTTCTAACACATTCGGTCTGAAATTCCATTCTCTTCCTAGGGGCCCTTTACCCTGATAACACCACAGGGTTTTTAAGAGAAGATGACAAGATCTATCCAGGCCAGAACTATACCTACAGACTGTTTGCCAGCGAACCTCACGGCCCAGGGCATCAAGACAGCAACTGCGTGACCCGGATTTACCACTCCCACGTGGATGCACCAAGAGACATTGCCTCAGGCCTCATAGGGCCTTTGATAATCTGTAAAAAAGGTATGTGGATGTGTGTTCTCATTCTTGCTTGGGGGGAGATAGCATCCAAAGGCAAGAGAGGGGCTGGAGCAATAGCACAGCAGGTAGGTCATTCTCCTTGCACGCTGCCAATCCGGGTTCAATTCCCAGCAGCCCATATGCCCCCGAGCACTGCCAGGAGTAATTCTTGAGTGCCTGAGTCAGCAGTAACCCCTGTGCATCTCCAGGTGTGACCCAAAAAGAAAAAGAGAAAAAAAGGCAAGAGAAAGGCAGTTTGGGGCCAGAGCGATATAGTACAGTGGGTAACGACTTTATCTTGCACGAGGCCAACCCAAATTTGATCCCTGGCATCCCATATGGTCCCCCCGACCCCAGCACTACCAGGAGAGATTCCTGCGTAGAGCCAGAAGTAACCCCTGAGCATCTCTGGGTGTGGCAAAAAAAATAAAGGCCAAAAGAAATAAAAGAGAAAGACCATTTGTTTTCAATAGAATTCACATCTTTTTCCTGATTGCTCCTCCCTGATTTTTCCTTCCTTTTCCCTAGATAAACAGAGTCCAGGAGAAAAGGAATGGTGGGACAGTGCAGATAGGGCTCCGTGGAAGAAACACTCTTTCAACGTTGCTCAATTTCAATACATTAGGGTCAGGAGTTCTATATCTAATGTCCTACCACAGTGCTGAAGAAATACACGATTTTACCTACTGTGACTGTCTCAGTAGCATTCTTTAATATTAAACGATTTCTAAGCAGAAGGGGCCAAGTCGTAGATCAAGAACGCGAGGTCCAATTCTTATTTGAGCAGTAATTAGTTACTTGCAAGTACCTGTCTCAGGTTATTGTTGTAAGCACCAAAATACACATACAAAATTTTTAATGAACCTTTTAATTTTCATAAAAACCATTTAATCGTGATGTGTTCAGTAAACATCCAGAGAGATGAGGTCTCCCAAGCTTAGGAGACTGTACGTAAAATTCCTTAAGAATCTAGGGAGAGAATAGTGTGGTGAGCACTTGCCTTGCAAGTGGTCAGTCCCAGTTTGACCCCCACAGATGGCCCCTTAGCATTGCCAAGAGTGATCCCTGAGCACTGAGCCAGGAATAAGCCCTGAGCAGTGCTGGGTGTGGCCCCAAACTACCCTCTCGCCCCCCTCAACAAAATTTCTATTTCTATAAAGTAAGATGGACTTGTACAAAGTGTGGTATATCAGGAAGATAAATATTAGGAAAAAATTAACTATAAGATACTAAACCACATGCCATAGATTTAAGTTCTAAAATATAAATAAATAAATGTGACTTTTACTTCAGATTCTCTGGATGGAGAAAAAGAAAAGAACATTGACAAAGAATTTGTGGTCATGTTCTCTGTGGTGGATGAAAATCTCAGCTGGTACCTAGATGACAACATCCAGACCTACTGCTCAGAACCAGAGAAGGTCGACAAAGAGGACGAAGAGTTCCAGGAAAGTAACAGGATGCACTGTGAGTTTCCAGAAGAACATCATCACTTGCCTTCTTCCTATTACTCCGTCCCTTCTGCTAAGCTTATTTCTGTACGTGAATCAGTAGCATGTCTCTGTGCCCCTGGAAACAAATCAGATTTGGTGTCCAACTTGATATTCAGCTATTAATCAAGTAAAGACAAATTCACCACGTTGCTCCCCAAACAGCATCAGTTAGGGTTTAATGTACCTGTATGCTCATACTTAGGTAATAATTTCTCCTACACACTCACTCTAAAAATTATCAGTCTGCCTAAAGTTATTAAAATAAATGCCTGAAATTATACCGTAAAGAACTGAACTATGATTAAGAAAGTAGTTTAAAGCAAGATCTAAAAGTTTGCATATACATATCCCTGGGTCTCAGGCCCCTGCATTATTTATTTTCTATTTTTAATTCACCTTATTTCTTCTAGAAACATTTTCTTTCTGTCTGGACTACTCCTTTGTTCTCAGACACAGAATAATGAGCTCACTAAGCTTGCCTACTGCCCAGAATTTGCATAAGGAACCAAATCCCTTTACATCAACTAAATAAAAAATTTTTTATGTAGGAGTACTGCTATTTATTCAGCCACTAATTAGCTGATTGAATTGTGCTTATTCTCCACCTTACTTTTTTTTTATTTTTTACAATTTTATTTATTGAATCACCATGAGAGCAGTTACAAAGCTTTTGGGTCTAAGTCTTGGTCATAAAATGAAACACCCGTACCTTCACCAGTGCCCATTCTCCACCCCCAACAACCCCAGTACACCCCCATCCCACATCATCCCCCTACCTGTGGGGTAGATGATTTCCACATTACTCTCTCTCTACTTTGATCACATTCAATATTTTGACACCAGACCCACCATTATTATTTGAGATTTTACCCCAACACTCAGATCTGCTGAAAAGGCAATAGTAGATAATTCGTTTTCTATTGCTGGTTATTATTATTATTGACTTCTTCGTCAAGACCCTAAATGATCGGTTTGAGGCTCTACATGTTCCTAAAACGAACAGATACCATTGGGCTACGCTAGCACGCAACCGGGATGAATGGAGACGTTACTGGCACCCGCTCAAATAAATCGATGAATAACGGGGATTAAGTGATTAAGTGAAGTGATTGCTGGTTATGAATAACATATGATGTTGCGTGGCTGCAGTAGTGGCTGTGAGATTTTGAAATTCCGAAATTTTAACTCTTAAATCTGGAGGGATTTCTACCCAAACCTGCTGGGTTCTGAGATTTGTTCCTGAGTCTCTGGAATCATGGCCGTTAAGCAGCTTGATCAGGAGCCAGAAAGGCCATTCATGGGCGATGACTTGGGGTCTCATTGGGGGGGAGAGGACAGGACCGGCTCCACCCCCATCCCATGAGACCCAACAAGTTTCGTCACTGCGGACCCAAGCCTGACTGTCCAATGGCCTCTGAAGGATGACAGCCACCAAGCCACCAAGGGGGAGCAGGTGGAGGGACAACACAGTAACCTACTATGGGGTCCAGATGCATTTCTGCCAAAAGCCACTGGGTTTCAAGATTTGTTTCTGAGTCTCTGAGATCATGGCCATTAAGCAGCTTGATCAGGAGCCAGAGAGGCCGTTCGTGGACGATGACTCGGGGTCTCGTTGGGGTGGAGAGGACAGGACCGGTTCCACCCCCATCCCATGAGGCCCTGCGTGTCTCGTCACTGTGGGCCCAAACCTGACTGTCCAGTGGCCTCTAGAGGATGGTGGCCACTGGGCCGCCATTGGGAACAGGCCAAGGCACGAAACCTATTCCCACCTGGTTGGCCCAGCACCGGTAACCTACTGCAGGGACCGGACGCATTTCTGCCAAAAGCTGCTGGGTTTTGAGATTTGTTTCTGAATCTCTGACTGGGATCATGGCCATTAAGCAGTTCAATCAGGAACCAGAGAGGCCATGCCTCCAATTATATAGCTGAGCCAGAGGTGGTTTGAGGGTGTGTTTCCCACATACCTAACTTTTGGCTGTTTACTTTCTTGGTAAACTTTGCCCCAAGTTTTTGGGGTCTGGCCAAAGGCACAGCAGCAATTTTGGGGTATCTGGAAGTCTGAAGGCGCCATCAGGCTGCTGATGCACTCGCCTCGCAGGTACAGATTGACCTGCTAGCAGCACCATACCCCCATCAACTAAATCAATTCTTAAGGATCTTTGTGTAGCCTCAAAATAACCTTTCTTGGGGAAACAGAAAACACAAAATAAAGTAACTATCAAAACAGAAAAACAAACCTATTTACAAAGTACAGGCCCTGATTTCCGACTTTGGCTTCCAGCTGCCTTTGTTATATGCTAATGCAAATAGATAACAGAAAAAAAAAGTACTTCAGGGGGTAAAGAGAAAGCACAAGTTAAGGCCCAGGCCAGGCCCCAGTTTGATTCCCAGCATCACGAGTTCCCTAAAGCATCCCCAAGTACAGCCCTGGAGGGCCCCGAGCTTTAGATCTCTGTTGCTCTGGACATTGATCCTGCACCTTCCCCTACATCTCTTTCTTTCCTCCTTCATATTTCTTCCAATTTGTCTTCCGACCTTTTTTTTGAAAAACGATTCACACAATTCAGATTCATAAAAGAAAATTGGAGACTTCCAAGAAGCAAAAAGAAAACATTAAAATAATTTCTATTCACTCTGCAACATGATTCATGATTGACTGACTCAGTTTTGTTTTCATTCACTATATATGTTCATGCTTTGTATACACGCACATGTTTGCATGTTTACAAATGCACACACGTATATATGTGTATATATATATACATATATATATATATACTGAGTATATATGGTATATATACTAGTACGTAGGTGTTCTTTTCAGTGTTCTATTCATCTAAGGATATTGAATGACAAGAATCCAGTCCAAAATGAAAGATATATAAGACAGGAGAGCAGTGCAGACACTTTCCACTTCAGTTTCCAGAAGACTGTGTCAGCTAGATTCCATCCCGAACAGACTCCATTTCTGTAGAGGTCACGATCCCTATCCCAAACACAGATATGCGTGTCCAATCACCATCTCTGTTTGACTTCCAGCGGTGAACGGATACACATTTGGAAGTCTCCCGGACCTCTCCATGTGTGCTGAGGACAGAGTGAAATGGTATCTTTTTGGAATGGGCAATGAAGTGGATATCCATGCAGCTTACTTCCATGGGCAAACGTTGACTAACAAGAACTATCGAATCGATACAATCAATCTGTTTCCAGCGACCCTCTTTGATGCTTTTATGGTGGCCCAGAGTCCTGGAGAATGGATGCTCAGTTGTCAGAACTTAAACCATCTGAAAGGTAGGAGAGTCATTGCCCAAAGAAAGGTCACATCTCAGTTATGCTAGAGAAGGAAGAGAGGGGTGATTGCTGGGAACTACCAGCTACAACTCTTGAAATGATCTGAGCTTTGAACTAGCTGTTTAATTTTATTCCCAGCACAGAATGCATCAGATGTGATTTTTAGAAAGACTGGATCATTTCTAAAGTAATTAAAACTGAAAATGTGTTCATGTTAGAAAAGCCTTCAATGTATGTTACTGCCCTAAAATTACATTATTGCATACATCTTTTTTGATCAATAGACAATATTGGAAGCTTCACAAGATCTGGTATTATTTTGACAAATTTCAGATTTTCACAAAATTGATTTCTTCAAATAGAGCAAAGTTTGTTCTCTGAATCCAGTTATTCCTTGGTTTAACTCAGTCGGTATCTTTATCTTTTAAGTATAAGATGATCAGACATTCTTAGTATTGGAAAAATACTAGTTTGTGATAGGTCTCCTAATGACATTAGGTTTAATCTGGATCTCTGAGTATGTTACTTTGACCTTCAAATAAATTTCACCTGTCAAAGGACCTGTACAACCACTTGGTGTAACAGTTTAGCCATAACATTCATTGGCTAAAGAAAAGTAGGGTAGGCACTTGCCTTGTACTTTGGCCTGGGTTCAATCCCTGGCACCACATGTGGTCTTCCAAACCCTGCCAGGAGTGATCCTGAACATAGAGCCAAGAGGAAATCCTGAGCACTGTTAGTTGTGATGGGAAAAAAAAGAAAAAATTTAAAAATTCAAAATTTCATTAATTCCTCTGCGCCTCCTCTTCCTAGCCCTCAAAACAGGACAAAGCGTCTCCTTTTTTGCTTACTTCCTAAGGAGTTCTGTTTTTCTCATTAGAGAATCTCCCAGGTGAAATTTCACCAGAATAGAACCATATTTCTAAAACGGTAGCTCTTTCTCCTCTTTCTCTTCGCGGGGTTGAGGAGGAATCTACTTGACATTTTCAGCCATAATTTCTTTGTGATGTCTAGCTCATAATATTGTTTCTTGTCATTAATTTCTTCCATTCCCAGCTGCCTTTAGACCGGGAGTGGTTTATAAGGCAGAAGACCAACATGAGTAATGTGAACTCCATGTCTATGTTTGCAGCTGGCTTGCAGGCCTTTTTCCAGGTCAAAGACTGCAAAAAGCCCTTGCAGGAGCCCGAGGTCCGCGGGAAAGTTAGGCAGTACTACATTGCTGCTGAAGAGATCGTGTGGAACTACGCGCCCTCAGGCACAGACGCCTTCACCCACCAAAACCTAACCGAGCCTGGAAGGTAATTCACCACTGGGTCTAATTTCCAAACACATGCCCCCTCTAAAACCATTCAAGCTGATTCCACAATGAAAATTTGAGTTGATACTGAAATGGATGGAGTAGGCTGCTAGGTATCTGTATAAACTTACAGCACAGTAACAACGTGATCTGCCTTTTGTGTAGGCTTCTTTGACTCAGCTAATTTCTTTATTCTTTCTTTTGCTCTTTCTTTTTCTCTCTCTTTCTCCTCCTCCCCCTTCCTTCCTTCCTTCATTCCTTTCTCTTCCTTCCTTTCTTATTTCTCTTCCTTCCTTCCTTCCTTCCTTCCTTCCTTCCTCCTTCCTTTCTCTCTTCTTCCCTTCCTCCCTCCATCCCTCCTTCCCTCCCTTTCTTCCCTTTCTTTCTTTCTTTCTTTCTTTCTTTCTTTCTTTCTTTCTTCCTTTATTTCTTTCTTCTTTTGTTCTTCCTTTCATGGGTTTTAGGGTCATACATGACTGTGCTGAGGGCTTATTCCTGGCTCTGTGCTCAGGGATCACTCCTGGCAGTGCTCAAGGGACCATATGCAGGGATTTTTTTTTTTGGCCAGACCCAGCAGTGCTCAGGAGTAACCCCTGAGGATGTTAAGGAGATTGTCTGAGGTACTGAGGAATCAAACCAGGTTCCAGGGAATACCAGGCAAGTGCCTTAAGCCCTGCACTATCTCTCAGTCCCTCTTGTTATAGAACAGACAAAACTTGTTTTCTTGCCACAAGTTGTTTCTCCTCACCCCACTCTATCCCCTGCACACCATTGATCTTATTTTTAACTCTGGATTGGTTTTTAAAAAACCAAATGACACTTCCTCCAGGAAGTCTCTGGGATTCTCCCTGGGAGAAATGCTCCTGAGCACTTGTGCTGATGACCGATCATGCTGTAGACTGGTTCACAGCCACTTTCTCTGACAGATGTCACGTCATGTGACCGGACTCACAGCACTCATGGAGTGCTTCTGACAAAGAGCAGATACAGAGGCATCTGCCGAAGGAAGAAAGAGATGGATGGGGTGGCTCTGTGCAAGTTAAAGACCTTTCTGAGGTGTCACCTTTTCATTGCAAAACAGGAAAAACAACGCCAACTTGGTGACATTACTATGTGAATTTCATGGTGAACTTCTGGTAGTGAGAAAAAGCTCCAAAGCTAGCTTGTACTAATCTGAAAAGAAGAAGAAAAAGTTGCAGTTTTCAACGCATTAAAAAAAATTGTTTAAATATCTGTTCTCGGGCCAGGGAGAAAGTGCAGGGGTTAAGGCACTTGGTTTGAATCTTGGCACCCCAGAAGTTCCCCCGAGCACTACCAGGGGTGTCCTCTGAGATGTAAAATAAGATCAGTTCATGTCAGAGGGAGCGTACAAGATGAAAGACATTTGCCTCCTCATGGCTGACCCAGGCTTGTTCCCCAGAACCACATGTAGTCCCTGAACCCCACCAGGAATGACTCCTGAGCACAGAGCCAGGATAAATCCTTGAGCACAGATCAGTGGCCCAACTTCCCTTCTCTCCCTCCCCCCGCAAATAAAAGACCATCAATTCTAGATTGATGTGTTGACTGTCAGGGACTTTCCACCACACTGGAGAAAGTCAACCCTTCCACCATCTGTCTCTGAACTGTCCTGGTGCTGCTTGCTTCTTGTTCAGTGCCAGGGGGAGCATGGAGAAAGGTCTCCAGGCCCTGTGCCACTGCGTCTCCCGTTAGAATCTTCCGTCAACGCCTGCTTTCCACACCAGCACTCAACCCTGTTCTTTCCGTGTTCTTTCTGCAGCGCGTCCGAGGTTTTCTTTGAACAAGGTGCTATGAGAATCGGAGGCTCTTATAAGAAGTTAGTTTACCGTGAGTATACAGATGGCTCCTTCACAAAGAAAAAGGAGAGAGTGCCAGAGGAAGAACATCTTGGCATCCTGGGTGAGTCCATGCAGAGTCTATGTGACTATTGTCGTCTGGCATTCCCTGGTGACACCAACCTCAGAAAAGACAAAGCTGCAACCTGCTGTCCCCACAGACATGGGAACTGTGGACACTCACACCCCAATGTAATGCAGATGAGTTACCAGAATCAGTTACCAATAGTAAAAGAGGCTGGCCCCTCCAAAAATATCCCAAGTGATTGGGGTATTTTTTCCCCCAAGAGGTAATAGGGACTGGGGTTTAAATTAATGATGATGTGGTTAGCCTGCCCTTCCAGCTAAAGGTGCATTTCCTTAGAAATAAAGTCTAAAGCTTGAGTCGTCTGGCAGGGAGCCTTTTGTAGGCTGTGCTTCGGCCTGCTCAGTCAATGCCCTGGGCAGAACGGTTTGGATGAGTCTTGATGTCCAGAGGTGGAGTTTCTCCACTCTTCAGCTGTTAGCTCTGATCTCTGAAAGTCCTCCACTTCTTGTAAAATGGGATCAATAATAAGAATGACCATCCTTATACTTTGATTGCCCTATTCAGATTTTTTCCTTAGAATATTCTTAATTCTCCTCACTCTTACTAAATTAATATCCTTGTCAGATTTATCTATTTCATATAACATTTTAAACATATCGACATGGAATTATTTATACTTCTTTTTTAATGCATAAACCTATAAAAAGAAAATAAATAATAGTTCTTTAAAACCTTGATCAACTTATCATGATCTATAATTTTGTGGAATTTCAGGAGTTTTGCTTTATTCATCTGGATGTGTGTAGGTGTCACCATCTCCACAACATTTTTATTTTAAGCCGCACTTGAATGTGAGCCATAGAGAAACGTGGTAAGGGAACAATGGCCCAGGTCATCAAAACTGATGATTTTGTCCGAAGGCCTGAGCTTGCACTGGAGGGAGTGGGTGACTGGGTCCTCGGGGGCTGGTCGGAGGACACAGGGTCACTGAGAATGGGTGTGATGTAGAGATGATGGAAGTATGAAAAATATAATTAACAATATCGTAAATCCTGGTACCTCAATAAAAAAAAGAGAATGACAAACCTTATCTCACAAATTTTTAAGTATCAAATTAGTTAATATATATAAACTACACACTCAAAAGTTCTCAAATATAGTTTATATTAAAAGTTTTGTATTATATTCCTATGTTTTTATTCTCTAGTAGCAATATTAATTTTGATCATGGAAAATTCACAGTTTTATTATTCTTCACCTCAAAGTCAGTTCAATTTATGCCACTGAAAATGGTTGAGTGATAGCACAGCGGTAGGGCATTTGCCTTGTGCGCAGCCAACCTGGCCAAGCCGGGTTCGATTCCTCCGCCCCTCTTGGAGAGCCCGGCAAGCTACCAAGAGTATCTCGCCTGCGTGGCAAAGCCTGGCAAGCTACCCATGACGTATTCAACATGCCAAACACAGTAACAACAAGTCTCAAAATGGAGACGTTACTGGGCCCGCTCAAGCAAATCGATAAACAACGGGAGGACAGTGTTTTTTTGTCTGGCCTGACTCAGAAATAACACACTGGCAGCAGATGGCTCTAATAAGGATGCCGTGAGCAGTTTCTGTAGATGCTTTAAAGCTTGTGGGCTAGCCTAGTCAAAAACAATGACAAATTTTATAAGTGTGAATCCCAAGTGCTCCTCATCTCTTTCCAGCATCCTCCCGTCCAATGACAGTGAGACTGTACAGGCGACAAACTTTCCAATGAGCATGTCTCTGCCTAAGCTTGTCGTTGATTGCCACATTGCTTTTGCCAGCCGACAAGCCCAAGTACCATGCCCCACCGAGATGTTGTAAACGTTTGATGCTCTATACTAAGGGATACCCGGATTCTCTCTGACCCTAGGTCCCGTGATTTGGGCAGAGGTAGGAGACACCATCAGAGTCACCTTCCACAACAAAGCAAATCATCCTCTCAGTATCGAGCCTATGGGAGTGAAAGTGAATAAGACCCACGAGGGCACGTTCTATTTTGGCCAGTTCAACACCCACAACAGACGTGAGTACGGCCATGCTGGCCAAGCCCCAGAAAATGGTTCTGCCGAGGCCCTAGGGAGGAACTTACAAAGAAACTCTCTCACTCTTATGCATCATGTCAGTTAGCCAATAAGCCTCGTCCCCTACTTTCTCATCATTTATTGAACTTTTCCCTGCTTTTATGGTGAGATTATTGGCTATACTGTTGTGCCTTATCTGTGTTGTGTCATGATGTGCTTCTGGAATGCTGGTGGCTAATTGTTACACATTTTTAAACCTTTGTGCAGGGTTGGAGAGACAGTACAGCAGAGAAGGCATTGCCTTGCACACTCTGACTTAGATTTTATCCCTGACATCCCATAGGGACCCAAATCCTTCGAGGGATGATCTCTCAGCACGGAGACAGGAATAAATCCTGAGCACAAGTGTGCCTCCCCCCCACAAAAAATACAGAAAAATCTTCTTGCAACTGTAAGAAGAGTCTATGCTTCTTTTAGAATATTAAGAAATATTGGAAGGGCTGGAGTGATAGTACAGCCGGTAGGGTGTTTGTCTTGCACGCAGCCGACCCAGGTTTGATTCCCAGCATCCCACATGATCCCCTGAGCACCTCCAGGAGTAATTCCTGAGTGCAGAGCCAGGAGTAACTCCTGTGCATCTCCGAGTGTGACCCAAAAAGAAAAAAACAAAAAGAAAGAAAAAAGAAATATTGGAAAGCCTAGGGATGTTGGAGATAGTCTTGCAGTGAGGGCTAGTGAGTGCCTAACTCAGTTTGATTCAAGGCACCAAATGGTCCATCCAGCAACACTAGGTGCATCCCTGGAGGCCTCCAGGGTCATCATGGCACCACAGGGGCCTGAGAAGCCCCTCATGTGTAGGCCCAGATGACTGACAATCCCCAGGTTGGTCCGAGGGCCTCCTGAGGACCGCTTGAGCTTCCTGCCTCCCCAAGAAACATACAAACAGGAATCACCAGAGATATTATTATCCATACTTCTAGAGACAACCACTCTTATGTTTTCTATTATTCTTCCCTTCTTTCATCTATGATGATATACTATTTCTATCATGTGGGGATTGGAGAACATCATTTATAGCCAGTGTCTTCTTGTATTTTAAGCACTTTATACAGTGATTCATTATAACTTTAATGATAGAAAATACTCCACTCTGTGGACATAACTCAGTATTTTCATCAGTCAGGGTGGCCTTCATTCATCTCAGCCACCGTTACAAGGGAACTATGTGCCAGTGATTGGGTCTCTCTGCCCTGAGTTTCCTCAGAGACAAAGTTGGGAGATTCCAGATCATCTGCAAGATTCCACCGTTGTTTTCAGTTCAATAGAAAATGCATCAATGGCCCCCTACATTCGGTGTTAATTTAGCTGATGGAAATCATGTTGGACTTCAAGAAGGCTCAGTTCTGTTTGGAGAGGAAAGATACATGGAGTGGTGAAGGGTGTGAGTGTTATTCTAGGGCTGTTATTCAGAGGGCACCATCTTAGTCCACCGTGGCTGTTGCAACCAAGCAGCCGAGACTGGGTGGCAGAGGAACAACAGAACAGGTGGCAGTGTTCTCTGGTAGTCCTGATCGGGGTGCCATCCTGGCCACCCAAGAGGCCTCCTTTCTCTTTTCACTCTCACTGTGCCCTCGCCTGGAGGAAAGGAGGAAGGTCTGGGCCATCTCTCACCTGAGGACACTAATTCCACTCATGAAGACACCCCTCTGCTGACCAAATCACCTCCCGAAGGGCCCACCTCTTTGTGCCACCATCATGCGGGACTTAGAGCTCCTGGAGGTGAATTTGCAGGGGTCATCAACCTTCAGATGGAGATGGGAAACATCCTGGTTCCCTCCTCTGCGGAGATGTAGAGGAGGTTACCTGGGGGATTCCACCCTTAGCTCCCATGTGGGAGCCGAATTCCTTCCTGATTCCCAACAAAGAACTCCGAACCGGCTTATTCTAGACCAACCCAGGCTCCTTTGTGGCCCCGCGGAGCACATCCACGCGCTTGACTTCTCTGCTGTGACCTTTCTTACAGATACGTGTCATCCAGCCTCCTGTGTGGCACCCAGGAAGACCTGGGTCTATGAGTGGTCTGTCCCCAAAGGAGTGGGACCTACTTACAAAGACACACAGTGTTTAACCAAGATGTATTATTCAGCTGTGGACCCCACCAAAGATATATTCACCGGACTCATTGGGCCCATGAAAATATGCAAGCAAGGATCCTTGGATGAAAATGGGAAACTGGTGAGTCTAGCACTGCAGCACCGTCCTCTCATTGTTCACTGATCTGCTCGAGCGGGCCCAGTAACGTCTCCATGGTGAGACTTGTTGTCACTGTATTTGGCATATCAAATATGTCACGAGTAGCTTGCCAGGCTTTGCCGTGTGGAAGAGATAGTCTCAGTAGCTGACTGGGCTCTCCGAGAGGGGCGTACCCAGACATATTTTTTGGACAGCTGCATTTGATTAAAACAATTAGTTTTTTTTATTATTATTTTCATTCTTGAATCCTGGTATTGTAGTAGCCAAATCCATGTATTTGGCTGCTATAATACCTATCATTACCCCCTCGAATGTGGAACTATATTTATTTGCGCTGTAATTCACAGTCCCCAAACAGAACAAAACAAAAATGCCGATACCTCCGGCGCTCGCATCTTGGAAACATAAAGAGGTATTAAAAATCAACAGTCATTTATTCATTGTGCCATTTTGCAGAGCAGAACTTTAATTTTTATTAACAAGACTGAAATAAGATTAAAACTGAGTTAATCATAGAACTGATCTTCACAAAATTTAAATCAACCAAAGTGCTCCAGGTTAATGAAGGTTTTAAAAAATATTTTTTACCAAGCAAAATTAACAAGTTAAGATGCTTAAATGTGAGACAAAAATATTTAAAAGTTCAAGCTTACACTCGTATGTTTGTAGAGGCTAAGCAGAGAAAGTGAAAGTTATATGCAATCTCTTGGTGTGGATGTGCCACCATTTACGAACCAGTCCATTCATGAGCAAGTGCTTGGATTGGCTCCAATCTTTGTTTTTATAAATGCAATACAGTAGGAAACCTTATTCCTGTCTGGCTGTATTTTTTTAACATTTTTATTAGTGAAACACCATGAGGTACAGTTGTAGATTTATAAATTTTTGTGTTTGGGTTTCAAGTGTACAATGATCAAACACCCAACCCTCCACCAGTGCCCATTTTCCACCACCACGGATCCCAGTATCCCTCTCACCCCCCATCCCCCCATCCCACCCTGCCTCTGTGGGAGGGCATTCCCTTTTGTTCTCTCTCTCTCTCCTTTTGGGTGTTGTGGTTTGCAAAAGAGGCATTGAGTGGCAGTCATGTTTGATCTGTAGTCTACTTTCAGCATGCTTCCCCCCATCCTGGGAGGATCCTCCCAACACCCTGCCAGCATCTTTAGGATAATTCCTCAAAATGACATTGTGGGGACAAAGCATAAACATATGTATAATTCTGATGGATGTAGTTGAATCCCCTTCCACAGGAATTGTGCAGTTTTATGCTGCCACCATATGTGAGAGTATCTGTTTACCATAGTGCTGGGGACCATGCAATGACAGGGATTAAACCCGGGTCTCCTGCATGAAAAGCCTGTGCTCCAGACCTTTGGTCCTGTTGTTCACATTTTAGTCACTGTTTTTATTGACTCTGTGGATATTGATCTATTCATGCGGCTTCTTTTCAATCAGCTGATGACATGTACTCAGAAAAAAGTCTTCATTTTTTCTTAATACATGTGGTCGTGTGCCCCTTTCATCCACAGTGCGATATGGTTGGTTTCTCTCCACTTTCCTCATTATACATTATAAAGAGTTTTGTGCATTACTTTGACGTTTTCAAAGAATATACTTAGGTTTTGCTTAGATATTCTCTTTTATCTCTGGCTTATTTTTACCCCTTTCTTTTTTCTTCATTTTATTCCTAAACTATTCAGATGCTTACAATATTGGTTTTGCTTAAAATAAAAATTATTTCCAACTCTCTGTTCATGTGTTTTGTTACAGTTCTTACATAAAGACTTACTGCCATCATGGATGTGACTAAATCCTTAGTAATTTACTTTTGCTTCCTCTTTGGTGTGAGAAATATTTGGATCAAATAAGAGCTTTTTCATGTTTCAACTTTTGGCTCTTTCATGAGTAATAGTTTTGTTGCATTATTATGAGAAAATGTGACCTGTAGTTTTGACTGAAATTTTCTCTCTTGGTCAACACATGAGGGTCTCTAGCCTCTGAAGACATCTTTCTGTTCTTCCCTTAGTATAGAATTTTTGTATCATAATCTTCAACCCATGAGAACACAAACTGCATAAACTTTAATATGTTGATGGCTTTGTTGGAACATGTTTAGGTAATTATGTTATTATTGGGGGAAGAGGGGGGCCTAGTATGGCTCTGGCTCTGTGCTCAGGGATCGCTCCTGTACTATCTCTCTACTTGGTAGATATTATTACTATTTTGCCTTGTTTCCAGAGAAGCTTTTGAATATGAACATTCTAGATGTTTCTATCATGGTGATGACCATGGCCACTGTTAGTATCATGTCTCCTCTCTTTTGTAACCTCTTTATCATTACTATGCATATGCATTTTATCATTTTTTTCTGTTTTATGGGAGTTTTTTTTCTTTGGGAGTTTTGCCTTGTTCTGTTTTGATGGTTTAGGGGGTCACAGCCAGCTGTGCTGACTTATTGCTCAGGGGTGCTTCTGGATTGGAACTTCCTTAACATCATCTACATAGATTCTGTTTTCTGTGTCTAAACTTCAGGTCTCTGCTGTCGTTGGCTTTTATTTTTAACTTGGATAATTATGTTTTAGCTGAAAAAAAATCTTTTTTTTTTTAAAAAAGCAATCCCCTATAAAGCTTACTCATCTTTGCAGGAATAACTTGTAACTTGTTCCTGGGAGTTCATGTGCTTTGATTTCGTAGACTGATTGCCGTTTTCTGAGAACTCTTGAATCATTCCATAGACAGTTGGCATTTCTGTTTCCTTTTATTTTCTCTCCCTCCCCCTCCCTTCGTCCTTCCCTCCCACCTCCCTCCCTCCTTTCTTCCTTTCTCCCTTTTTTTCCCCTTTCTCTTTCTAGAGAAATTTTAAATTTACTGAAAAATCGAGCAGAAAGTAGAGAGTTCCCATATCACCACCCCCACCAGCACACACAATTTCCTCTACTACTGATCTTTCCATCTTTCATCAGTGGCAAAATTTTGTTACAATTGATGAAACATTATTAATTGTACCATTGATGGTGCATCATTGTCACTGTCACTGTCATTGTCCTCCCGTTGTTCATCGATTTGCTCAAGCAATAATATTGTATTATTGCCCAGTAATATTGTGAGACTTGTTACTGTGTTTGGCATGTCGAATACATCATGGGTAGCGTGCCAGGCTTTGCCGTGCGGGCGAGATACTCTCGGTGGGCAGAGGAATTGGGTGCATTATTAATAACTGAAACACTGTTTGCATTTGTGTTGACTCTTAGTTTTTGATAAATGTTCATTGGCATGTGTATGTCATTATAGTGTCACACCAGATGGTTTGTTTTTCCTAAAAGTCTGCGACGTTCCACCCTCTTGCCCCTCTCTTCCCTGCCCCAAGCCCGTAATGCCCATTTTTACCATCTCCACAGCTCTGCTTTTCCTGGCGTAGAGTGGAATCACATAGTATGTATGCTTTTCCTGAGGCTTGTCACTTCTTTGTTTTTTCACTGAGAATAGGGTGGTGAGTGGGGTGGAGAAGGCTTTTGCTGTTGGCTAAACCTTGACCCAGTCACGTGACGGCCCATGCTCCTGGCCTCGCTCTGCTGCCACCCCCTCTGTCTCCAGGAATTCTTTGAGGTCTCACGAATCCACATGGCCCCTTCCCTGATTTCTAGCACAGACCTATCTGCTTTCCAGCTTCCACCATTTTGAATGGATTCCACTGTTTACGGATAGAGTGGCAGAAAGGGAGGGAAAGGATTGTGAGATTTTTCGGTGCAGAATGAGTGTATGTGCTTATCTGGTTGAGTCAGAACTCCACTGCCCGGGAATGACAGAAAAGTCTGGGGGTCAACTGGATGCTTCTGTGCGCCAGTAGAAAACAAGGAACAGACTTCTGTCCTTCCCTTAGCAAGTCTGTAATCGAACCCTGTTGAACGTGTGGGAGTCTTTCTACTGAATGGGTCATGTCTCTAATTCACTGCTGTGGTTCTGGTTTACAGAAAAGCATCGACAAGGAGTTCTACTTGTTTCCCACAGTATTTGATGAGAATGAGAGCTTACTCCTGGATGATAACATTTTGGCATTTACCACTGCCCCAGATGAGGTGGATAAGACAGACAAAGACTTTCAGGAATCTAATAAGATGCATTGTAAGTGTGACCCCCACCCCCCCAGTTATTTGCAATGCTTTTTATTAAGCCAAGGTGTGATTAGCATTGCCCACAGATTATCAGCAAATGAATAATGCAAGATTGAGCATATTGTTGGATTTAATGCCTTAAATCTTAAATCTTCCCTACTTATCTCACTTAATTCAGAATAATAAATCACACAAAAAGATTTCGATGAGGTGCTGAGCCCCTCAAAGGTGGTTTAGAATTAAGAACCTCAGTTTCACCCAGGGACTTACTGTCCTCCCATTGTTCATCGATTTTGCTTGAGTGGGCACCAGTAATGTCTCCATTGTGAGACTTGTTGTTACTGTTTTTGGCATATCGAATAGCCACGGTGAGCTTGCCAGGTGCCATGTGGTCAGGATACTCTTGGTAGCTTGCCAGGCTTCCGAGAGGGGCAGAGGAATCGAACCCGGGTTGGCTGTGTGCAAGGCAAATGCCCTACCCACTGTGCTATGGCTCCAGCCCCCCTAGGGACTTACTAAAAATGCAAATTCATTGGCCTGATCTACTGAATCAGAAACGTGAGGGGATCAATAATCTTTGTTAAACAACCCCTCTGGGTTACAGGTGACTCTGATGTTTAAGTTTGACAGTTACTGGACTAGATGCTTCTGACTTAATAACAATAACACTTAATAACACCAGGTTCATCGTGGGGAACTGAGATTAATCACACTCCCTATAGTCTTTTTTTTTCTTTTTGGGTCACACCCAGCAATGAACAAGGGTTACTCCTGGCTCTGCTCTCAGGAATTACTCCTGGCGGTGCTCGGGGGACCATATGGGATACTGGGAATTGAACCCAAGTTGGCCACGTGCAAGGAACATGCCCTACCCACTGTGCTACCCCTCCAGCCCCGAGTATGCTTTTTTGAGACACCCCATGAATATTCGTATTTGTTGACAATTGGAAATACTAGTACTATCTGGGCTGGAGCGATAGCACAGCGGGTAGGGCATTTGCCTTGCAAGCGGCCAACATGGCCACCCCAAGTTCGATTCCTCCACCCCTGTCAGAGAGCCCGGCAAGCTACCGAAAGTATCTCCCCCGCAAGGCAAAGCCTGGCAAGCTCCCTGTGATGTATTCGATATGCCAAACACAGTAACAATTGTCACAATGGAGACGTTACTGGGCCCGTTCGAGCAAATCGATGAACAACGGGAGGACAGTGACAGTGACAGTACTACCTATTGGAAACAAATGTGAAAGAAGGCATCCTGTTTGTTCTTTCCCCTGTTATTTGAGACAAATCAGAAATTTTCCCATTCAAAGCAAGAAACGTTTTCCCAGTGTACCATGTCCCCGAAAAGCTGCTTCTTGTCACCCATCTGGACACTCACCGGGATGAATGATGAGAGGGCAGAGAGTTGGCCAGTGAGGACACAGTGCAACGAAACCCTGTGTTCCATTCTGCCCTCTTAGATAGAGACACCCCAGCCACATCGTGCTGTAGACAGCCTCCTGAACGCAGCAAATAGGGGCTGGAGAGAGTGGGTGGAAAGGGTGACCGCCTTGCATGCAGCCCACCACGGTGCAATCCCCTCCCGCCTAAAGTCCCTGAGAAGTACCAGGAGTGATCCCTGAGCTCAAAGCCAGGAGAAAGCCCTGCGCACTGCCGGGTGTGCCTTAAAACAAATGAGAATAATAATTAAAAAGACGTTTTAAAAACAAGATGAGTGGAGCCAGAGCCCGAGTCCAGTGGGCAAGGTGCTTGCCTCGCACACGGCTGACCCAGATTCCACCCGGCACCACATCAGGACCCCTGGGCGCTTCCTGGAGTGAGCACTGAGTGCAGAGCCGGGAGTCAGCCCTGAGCCCTGCAGGGGGTGGTCCCCAAACAAAATGAACAAACGAAAATGGGTGCTGGAAAGTCTCCGGGTTGCTGGGGCGGGAGCTGTGACCCACTCGGCTCACGTGTCCCTGCCCCACTCTCACAGCCATCAACGGGTTCATGTACGGGAACCTGCCTGGGCTGCGCGTGTGCCAAGGGGCCCGGGTCGCGTGGTACCTGTTCAGCGCGGGAAACGAGGCCGACGTGCACGGGATCTACTTCGCCGGAAACACGTTTTCTTGGAGAGGCGGGAGGAGAGACACCGTCAACCTCTTTCCTCAAGCCAGCCACACGGCCGTCATGGTCCCTGAGTCCAAAGGTGACGTGTCCTCGCCCCCCTGCCTGGTCAGCCACTGACTGGCATCGTGACGGGATTTCAAGGGTGTGGCCCCACGCCGCCCAAGGTGCCCAGGATTCAGTGCCCGCCACACCCTATGTTCCAGCGCCTTCGCACAAGCCCAGAGGTCTCTGTGGCTCCATCTGTCACCCACTGACCTTTCTGACTGGGGCCTCTGCAGCTTTCACTGTGGTGGCTTTTTTTTTTTTTTTTTTTTGCTTTTTGGGTTTCACCTGGCAATGCTCAGGGACTATTCCTGGCTCTGCACTCAGGAATCACACCTGGCAGTGCTAAGGGCGCCATATGGGATGCTGGCACTCAGACCTGGGTTGGCTGCATGCAAGGCAAATGCCCTACCCGCTGAGCTATTGCTCCAGCCCACTGTAGTGGCTTTTAAATTTCCATTTATTCTAGTATTGTTCTTCTCACCAGTCCACTGACTTTCAATACCGATACCCCACACGTGAGTGAAACCATTCCTGCCAGCATCTTTCACTTCCACTTTGCAAAATCGCCTCCACTTTCATCTATTTTGAACCAGAAGGTACAGTTTCCTCTTTGTCGTGGTGGAGACATAGTCTGTTGCATGTAGTACCCTTTCTGGTACCACATATGATATCCCCTGGGACTGCCAGGGCTCACTCCTAAGCACAGAGCCAGGAGAGTCCCTGAGCACTGTCAGGTATAGCCACCCACACACCCACCCCCAATCCAAATTATAAAGAATAAAGAAAACAAATCCCTGAGATTCTAATGCAACCAGCAAGTCCTTGAATCAGTGTGTACCAAGTGGCTATGAGTCAGGTGAAGATTAGGGCAGACAAGGGGACAGGAGTGTAGAGGGGTCCCTTGGGGAGGAGCTGGGAGAGATGGTCTGGGCCGGGAGCATGTGCCAAGGCCCTGAGGCAGGCACACATGTGACTTGCATCGAGACTAGCTCCTCAAGAGGCCGCAGTGGGTGGAGGGGTCCCAGCCGAGCTCAGACGAGAGGGAGTGACATGCTTCTCTGTGCCCACCCCAGGGACGTTTGAGGTGGAGTGTCTCACCACCGACCACTACACAGGGGGCATGAGGCAGACGTACACGGTGGAGCACTGCAAGGAGGCATCGGAGCCCTCCTCCCTGAGCGGGGGGCGCACCTACTACGTGGCGGCGGTGGAGACGGAGTGGGACTACTCGCCGCGCAGGGCGTGGGAGACGGAGCTGCACCAGCTCCAGGAGCACAGGTGCGTGAGCCGTCCACCCCACCGGCCGCCAGCATCCTTCGCTTCTGCTTTTCTGCAGCTCGGCGCCTCCGGCTCTGCTCTCACTCACGCCTCCCTTCCTCTCTGCGCTCCTTCTGCTGTCCGCGGCCCTTACCTTGGCACTGCAGCATCAGCTGAGCGCAGAAGGACAATCGCTTCCAGTGCAGAGCCCAGACAAGACTTTCCTCACCCAGGAAGGCTGCTCGGCCTTCCTCCAGAGAGCCCGTGCCCAGGCTAGCGACCACTCTGTACGTGCTTTGGGGGTTGGCTGGGGGCGGTATCTGACGGAGCGGCTTCCTCTCCTGGCTCTGTGCTCGGGAGTCACCTTGGGGGATTGTCGAGGCAGGAGGGGGCGATGTGCACTGCCTAGGGTGGAACCAGATCCACTGCCCGCAGGCTGAGCGCCTTGCCCTGCACTCTCAGCTGCCCTCCTGCAGATACTCAGACCCTGACACAGCCGGCTGAGTGCAGGGCTGCAAGCTCTCACCTTGCACGGTGCGGCTGTGGTCAAGTTCAGTTGCACGTGGGTTCCCAAGCTTCCAGAGAGTAAGCCACGGGCTATGTGTCCCCAACTCCCAGCCATATAGACAAACTGTGACATATGAAAGAGTAGCACTGTAGGACTGTCCTCCTGTTGTTCATCGATCTGCTTGAGTGGGCACCAGTAACATCTCCATTGTGAGACACATTGTTACTGTGTTTGGCATATTGAATACATCCTGGGTAGCTTGCCAGGCTCTGCCGGGCGGGTGGGATACTCTTGGTAGCTTGCCTGACTCTCTGAGAGGAACAGAGGAATCGAACCCGGGTCGACCACGTGCAAGGCAAACGCCCTACTTGATGGAAGAGTATTTTCATTTTTATTTTCACTCTTTTTCCTTTTTTCTTTCTCCCTTTCCCTTCCCATTTTCTGTGATGATCAGGCCGCTGCTGGTACTTTAGCTGTGTCCCTTGCCAGGGCTCATGCTTTATACACACACACACACATACACACACACACACACATACACACACACACACACACACACATACACACAAACATATTAGAATGTTTTATTGACTTTAGGTCAACTAAGAATAATGATCCACATTTTAAGTTTTAAGATTGTTTCACCTTGTTGGGGAAAAAAAAATTTTTAAAAGCGCACTTAGGTTGTAGTGAGCAGAAACAGTAGAGTCGTGGCATTGGGGTCCCGAACAAGAGAGTTCCTGGGGAGGGCGCACAGCTTTGGCATTCACACATTCGCCAGGAGGTGGGGTGGTGCTCACACCTACTGGGTTGTAACACGGCCATGAAGGGTTTGTAAAGTCAGAGGTGGCAGACATCACTGCTGCCCGAACCAGGCCCCATGCATGTGTGAGCACTAAGAATTTAACTTGGAACCAGGTGCAACTTGTAAGGCAGACGCTCCAAGTCACCCAGCCCTTCCCTGGGCCCCGATCCCCCATTTCAGAGTTGATGAAATGGACTCAGCTAGAGAGTGACGACTGTCATAGGGGCAGAGTGGCGCCCCACTCATCTGCCCCCCCCACTCACTCCAGCCGGGATGCAGGTGTTCCATCCCCAGCTACAGAATCACTTCGCTGAACACTCTTTTCTGGTTCAAAAGGTTCCAGGGGAAACTGTGCTTCCACCAAGACAAATGCTAACTGCCGTTTTGCCTGTGCGTGTCTCCGCAGCGCTCCAAACGTCTTTCTAGACAAGGAAGAGTTGTACATTGGCTCCAAGTACAAGAAGGTTGTGTACCGCCAATACACCGACAGCACGTTCAGCACTAAGATGGAGCGAGGCCCCGAGGAAGAACACCTGGGCATTCTGGGTAACTCCTGCTCAAGTCCTGGGGCGGCCAGTGAACTGCCACCCAGATGATTCAGGGGTCGGGCACGTGCTTTGTAGCCACCAGGCTTGGTTTTAATCCCTGGCACTGCACGGCTTCTAAGCACTGCTGGTGTGACCTTGAAGCCCACCAGCCACCAAGGCGGGGGTCCTGATGTCTCCCGGCGTGCGGGGCCTGAGCAGCACTGCATCAAATCACCACCCTAGTTGGTCAGGTATTGCGGGGAGCAGCCATCTCCCTCACCCACCTCACCCCTGCCATTACAACATCCAGAGAGGTTAGAGAAGAAGAAATAGTCCAAAAATGATGGGGCCAGGGCGACTGCTCCAAGGACTAGTGTTTGGGCTTTGTATGCAAGGGGTCTGACTTGAACACTAGCATCACATGGCCCCTGATCACCCCACCCCAGGCCTCCAGATCAATGCTTAGAAGGTTGCCCCCCACCCAAAGACAACAGAAATATTCCTCCTTCCTGCAAGAAATAGGGTTGTTGTTTTGTTTTTCATCCCATCTGCACAGCAGAGCCTGGCAAGCTCCCTGTGACATATTCGATATGCCAAACACAGTAACAACAAGTCTCATGATGGAGACATTACTGGGCCCGCTCGAGCAAATCGATGATCAACGGGAGGACTGTGACCTTGATCCCATTTGCTATGAAAATTGTACAGATTTGGTGTTTATCAAGTTGATGCCTGTGACTGGATGGCATTCCTAGAAACCAGTGAATATTTCCCCCAAATTCTCCCTGTTTCATCCTCCAAGTTCATGGCTATGTGCTTTTAGATGAAGATGTCCACCAGGAATTTCAAGAATGTGTCGGTCGACAAGGAAACAAGGAAAGAAAAAAGGATTAGCATGCTCAGGACAGGAGGGAAATCTGTCTTGAGTTTTCCTGGAATTGCTTGAGCATATATGTCAAAGGTGGAAGGACCGACTTGAGCCTTGAAATTCTAGGGAGGTGGGGAGGACCCTTCCAGGTCGACCCTCCAAACCCCAGTAGATGCTTCTATATTATAAGAGTTTGTGGGATTGAGCATCCCCCACTCCTGGGATAAGATGCCCAGGAAGCCTGGCAGGATTGCTGGGTAAGAGAAACTCTCTAGCAGGAGACAAATTGAGATTAGCAAGATGGGGCTGAGGATGTGGCTTCGTAGAAAGCTATTGCTGTGCATGTATGAGGCTCTGGGTTCAAGTCCTGGTGCCACACAGGCTGAAAAAGAAGATTGGCAAGATGGCATAAACGGAAGAGAAGCCCCACCTCCTGAAGTGCATATTACCACAAATTCTTACTCAGAAGCTCCTCCCGGCCGAGAGGCTTTGCACAACCCGACAAGGCAGGACGTTTCGGGAGTGTCTTCAATCCAGAAGCAGGAAGCTTAAGGAGCAAAACACAGAAAGGCACCATCTGTCCCGAGACTCCAGAGGCTCCCAAGGCTTTCGGCTCTTGCCACTGAGTCAGGACTTTCGGTGCGACAGCCGCATCACCTCCTCTTTCCTCTCCCTCCTGCCAGGGCCGATGCTCCACGCGAACACCGGAGAAAAAGTGGAAATTGTTTTTAAAAACATGGCCTCCAGGTCATACTCCATACACGCCCATGGGGTGAAAACGAACAGCCCCACGGTTACCCCAACTTTACCAGGTATTCATGGCGGGGGGTGGGGGAAACGGGGGGGGGTTGTCTGTTTTTTGCTTTTTGGGTCACACCCGGCGATGCACATGGGCTACTCCTGACTCTGCACTCAGGAATTACTCCTGGTGCTGCTTGGGGGCCATATGGATGCCGAGGATTGAACCCGGGTTGGCTGTGAGCAAGGCAAATGCCTTATCCGCTTTACTATTGCTCTGGCCCAAACATAGTATTTTATTTTATTTTGTTTGTTTATTTTTTGCTTTCTGGGTCACACCTGACGATGCACAGGGGTTTCTCCTGGCTCTGGTCAGGGGACCATATGGGATTCTGGGAATCGAACCTGGGTCGGCCACAGCCCTATCCGCTGTACTATTGCTCCAGCCCCCAAACATCGTATTTTAAAATCTTTCCCCAAACAACCCCTATGAGAGAGGGGAACCTTCCAGAGTGAAGTGAAGAAGGAGGTGAAAATGTGGGAAGGTGGGTATGTGTGTGTGTCTACATCATGTGCCCCCGTCCCCCATATCCACAGGAGAAAGGTCAAAGATCTGTTATCAATCAAGAAGAAAAACGTCCACCTCTCCCACCTTGCTCCCCTTCCCCTTCTTCCAACCACTGCTCTGCGGCTGTGGTCCTTGAGGTTGACCAGTTGCCCTGACATGTCTAGCCGCTGGGTCACTGGTTGGTAAGGCTTATTGCATAATGCAGTGCTAAGAGAGACAGAATCCCGCGGCCCACTGAGGCGTGGACGGAACTGGAAGGCCTAATGTTAAGGGAAGTGAAGCAGAGAAGGATGAACGCTGGATGATCCAGCACGTGGAGAGCAACAGGCCGAGGGGGATTCAGCAGTATCGAATGAGCGGCAGCCTTGGCCCTGGCTTCCAGAACCCGTGACTGAGCAGCATGGGCAGAGCGAGGGAGAACGAAGACGTGGGCTAGAGGTGCTAGAAGGACAGGGAAGGACAGGGATGGCAGGTCCTGGGTTCTCAGGTGGGGGCGGGGTGAGGGTGAATAACTTTGTACATCAATACGGGAAACTTGAGCACTAGTATAACCAGTCTACCTAAACTACATTTTTTTTGAGGCAATACATTTTTGTTTGCAAAATGGAACAGTGTTGGGAAGTATAGTGCACTTTCTTTTTAAAAAAAATTCTAAGAAAAAAAATCAGTCCATTCCACCTGAAAGGTTACAGAAACTGAGTTTAGAAAAAAGTCACTGTGAAAACTTACCTATTCATTATAAATACTTAGGTACTGGGGCCGGAGCGATAGCACAGTGGGGAGGGCGTTTGCCTTGCATGCGGCCAACCTGGGTTCGATCCCCAGCATCCCATATGGTCCCCCAAGTACCACCAGGAGTAATTCCTGAGTGCAGAGCCAGGAGTAACCCCTGAGCATCACTGGGTGTGATCCAAAAAGCAAAAAAACAAACAATAAATAAATAAATATTTATGTACTATTTCATGTCTTGAAATATCCATTAAAATTTTTAATTAAAAAAAATACCACATTCCTAAGCATCCAGTAAGCAGATAAAACACCGTGACTTATGACTTCTCACAATACTAGGGTATGTTTTCTCTTTTCAATTAACCTCCTTGTAGAGCCATAAACTATCATTTTTAAAAAGGATTGAGGGGCCGGAGAGTTAGTACAGCAGGTATAGCATTACGTTGCATATGGCTGAACCGGGTTCGATCAATGCTATCCCATATGGTCCCCTGACTACTGTCAAGAGTAATTCCTGAGTCCAGAGCCAGGAGTAACGCCTGAGCATTACCAGGCATGACCCAAAAAGCAATAATTAATTAATTAATTAATTAAAATAAATAATAAATTTAATTAAATTAGCACTGCACTGTAGCACTGTCCTCCCGTTGTTCATGGATTTGCTCTAGCGATCCCAGTAATGTCTCCATTGTGAGACTTGCTGTTGCTGTGCTTGGTATATCCAATACATCACGGGTAGCTTTCCAGGCTCTGCTGTGCGGGCGGAATACTCTTGGTAGCTTGCCGGGCTCTCCAAGAGGGACAAAGAAATCGGGTCAGCTGCATGTGAGCCCTACCTGCTAATTAATAAATAAGTAATCAAAATAAAATAAATATATGTATATCTACATACATATATTGAGAGAGAGAGAGAGAGATTAAGTATGGGGCTGGAGCAATAGTACAGAGTAGGGCACTAGCCTTGCATGTGGCCAACCTGGGTTGGATCCCCTGCATCCCATATGGCCCCCTGAGTACTGTGAGGGGATGATTCCTGAGTGCAGAGCCAGGAGTCACCCCTCAGCATTGCTAGGTGTGACCCAAAAGAAAAAAAAAGAGGTTGAGTATGGATATCAAATATACTCTAAATGTAACCACACTTGATTTTTTAGGTGAAACTCGTAGCTACTTCTGGGAAATCCCAGCAAGTTCTGGAGCTGAAAGAGAAGACAGCGCTTGTATTCCTTGGGCTTACTATTCAACAGTGGATCAAGTGAAGGTAAATTTTTGATCATTTGTGTCTTGTGAAAATTCTCAAAGTAGACATATAACGAGGAAGATGCAGGTAACTAAGACTTTTCCTGTGGACAATCCTATGCTAAAATCCCAGGAAAGTAAGTTGTTTCTGCAATTCACTAGAGCGTCAATTTTTGGTTTGTTTGCTTTCAAGGATCCAGTTCTTTGCTTTCCTTTGCCTTCAAGGATCAACTCTGTTTGCATTGATGGATAATATAATTAAATATTCCTCCACCCAGTGTCTTATTTACTTTCCATAGAAAAATAGCTAAATTAAAAATCCGAGGTAATGATTTTGCAGCTCTATGACTATATGAAAATAAAAATGCCAATCTTGGGGTCAGGAAATAATCCAAATGGTAGAACACAGCTTTGCACGCAGAAGGCCTGGGGTTCGATTAGTGACATTGCAAAGACATGTGAGCACTGTTGGGTATGACTTTGGGGGTCTCTGATCCCCTTTTGGATCCAAACACCAAATCTTCAGGCCTGCCCACCCGGAGTGGCCCCAGAGCCTCTAGCATCACTAGATGTTACCCTTATTTTTAAAATGTCAATACTGGGCAGAGAAGATAAGTGAGGGTCAGGGATACATGCTCTGTTCGCTCAGGACCACCCCTCCCTGATCCTTAGCATTGCAAGGCCCCCCAAGCACCGTAGGGCATAGTCCGGGAGGCACTGTTGTATATGACCCTAGCGGGGCACTGTGCAGGGCTCAAGCATCAAACCATTTGACCAGCCAGGCAAGTATGGCCAGCAGTGATCCTCAGGCTCCCTGAACATTGCTGGGCACGTCGCTCCTGCCACACCCTCCAGAAAGCCAAGCTCAGCTGCACTACAGCTGAAGCTATTGTTCGAGTCAGTATTTAGAAGCCAACAAAACACTCAACCAGAAATCAGCACCTGTACCAAGATTCTTCTGTGGAATTAAACCTCTACTTCAAATCTCTCTTCTGAGCCCAGACCGGTCTCTACCTCCCTACTGAACATCTCTCTTCTATGGTGTCCCCAGATATTTCCAGTGGAAATCTGGGACCCCCTCCATCTCCTTCTGTCTTTCCTGTCGTAATCAACGTCACAAGTGCAACTTCTACACATTTCTTCAGGCTAGAACCCTGGACATGAATGAGCTCATCCTCCCCACTGGCTGGCTCAGACCATTCCCCATCTACAGAGCCCGGGAACAAGCCTTTCTCTCTATGCCCACAGGCCAGGTCCTTGTCATGAAGGCTTCCTTCACTCCCCCACCGGGATGACTCATCTCAAATGCAAATATGCCACCCAGCCTGCCCAGTGGCAACCTATGACCCAGAAGCTATAGTCTAAAATTCCTGAACATCCAATGTCCTTCAAGACCCAATCTGCAAGTCCTTGCCCAACCAACCAAGTTTGTCATAGATTGGGGTCCTCCTCCATGCCTAAAAGCTCTTGACATCTCTCTTAACAAGTGGTTCATTTCCTCTATTTCTGTATTTTCCCTGTGATGCAGAGAGTAGGGTGAAGAGTGGAGGCAGGACATGGCTCTTTGACTCATCTCTAGATTTTTAGTGAACTGGTTAGTAACAGGCTCATGAAAGAAGCAAACCAACACTGTTCCTTGAGGTTCTTATTAGCTGCTATTTAGCTGAACCAGTATATTTTATCTGGGCGGGGGTGTTACACCCGGCTATGCACAAGGGTTAGTCCTGGCTCATGCACTCAGGAATTACTCCTTTCAGTGCTCGGGGGACCATATGGGATACTGGGAATTGAGCCCGGGTCAGCCATGTGCACAGCAAATGCCCTACCCGCTGTGCTATCACTCCGGCCTGAGTATATTTCATGTTTGTGGGAGGGTTTTGGGGGGACACACCTGACAATGCTTAGGGGTTACTCCTGGCTCTGTAGTCAGGACTTGTTTCTGGTGGTGATTGGGGAACGATATGGGTGTTGGGGATCAAACCTTGGTCTACGGCATGCAAGGCAAATGCCCTACCTACTGTAATATCTCTCCAGCCTCCTATATTTGTTTGATTTTTGCACCCATTTCTGTTATTATGTCACCCATGTGACCTCATAACTATTCACCCTTGTTCTGACCTATTTCAAGTCGCAAAAAAACATACATGGTGGGGCCACGTGAGGGAGGGATTACTGATAAAATCACCCTCTTAAAATTCTTGGGTTCATGGGCACTGAAGTCCCAGTTGTCTGAAATCCTGACCCGTATCACAAGGATGACAAAATGTTTTGCTTGTTTCCAGGATCTCTATAGTGGATTGATCGGCCCATTGATTGTCTGCCGGAGACATTATATGAAAATGTCCAATCCCCCAAAGACACTGGAATTTGCCCTTCTGTTTTTAGTTTTTGATGAGAATGAATCTTGGTACTTAGATGACAACATCCAAACATACTCTGATCACCCTGAGAAAGTTAATAAAGAGGACGAGGAATTCATAGAAAGCAACAAAATGCATGGTATGATACATTATTCTGAAACCTTTTTTTTATTTCCTGCTTTCAAATAAAACCACTTTGGAGGCTACTCATGCCCCCCATTTTATAATAAACCACTTCAGTCTCACTTTATATGTGAGACTGGATTCTGCTTGAAGCTATTAACCTCACTCCATCTATCAGCCATCTGTTAACCTTGCTACCAACTTCCAAAAATCTCTTCCCACTTTAAATAACATCCAAATGAGGATTCATTCAGCCTTTTGGTGTGAAATGACTAGAAAAGTGATGTGATCTGATTATTGATCTTTAAGTACTCATGCTACCGACCTGTCATGAAATAAGTTCAGTTATCTCTAAAATAGGCCCTTTATGAGCTCAGCCATCAGACTTCCTGTGAGATGGCCATTGGTTTAAAATATCCACAAAGGTCATATACTGTCCTGCACTCTCCTCAGCTATCAACGGAAGGATGTTTGGGAATCTACAAGGTCTAAGAATGCATGAAGGGGATCGCGTCAACTGGTACTTGATGGGAATGGGCAACGAAATAGACCTGCACACCGTCCACTTCCATGGACACAGCTTCGAGTACCAGGTAGGAGTCACGCATGGTGGTTAGTTTTGCTGTTTGTCTGAAAATGTTTTCATACATATAATGAAGAAAGATATTTCCTCAGAGAGATCGATGGATAGTGGAAGTTTCAAGAGACATTTAAATCTCAAACAGCACACAGCCGTTTCTACCGTTACTGACAGTGCTTAGATCCTTGGCTTTGGGCTGGAGGAATAGCATTGGTTGGACTTTTGCCTTGCGTGCAGCCGACACAGTTTCAATTCCCAGCATCCCATAGGGTCCCCTGAGCACCGCCAGGAGTAATTCCTGAGTGTAGAGCAGGAGTAACTCCTGTGACTCGCCGGGTGTGACTCAAAAAAGCAAAAATCAAAAAAAAAAAAAATCCTTGGTTTCTTAGTCCACGGGTTCCCAGCTGAAGTGGGTGTTCACGGAGTTGGACTCGAATGTTCCTGGATTAGGCCCTGCACTGGAACTGTTAGCAGACATGGTGGAATGTTTACCCAAAGATGACTCTGAGTGAAGAAACATGACAAAGGTCAAGGGTGCCCGGGAGGTGACACCTGGTTAAATCATGTGATCTCCTTCCAGTCACAAGCAGCAGCTAATCTGTACGTGAGTTCCACTTACCCTACTTGGCTTGGGATTAATTCCTCCTGCCTACATTTTGGGGAGCTGGGATCCCGACACTGAGGTGAGGTTAAGCTTTTTACAGAAGGGAAGTTAATCCCAGTCCTCTACTCAGACCTCTGGCCTCATCAGAAGAGAATTTAAGGTGACAGACAGTGACACAAAATCTCCTGAAGATTTAATACAGCTCTAGGAGAGAGAGAGGGCAAACTCTCTGGATCGAACCTGAGGGAATAGAATCCGCATTAATTTTTTTAAAAATTTATTTCAGGGGCTGCAGCAATAGCACAGCGGGTAGGGCGTCTGCCTTGCACGTGGCCGACCCGGGTTCGATTCCCAGCATCCCACATGGTCCCCCAAGCACCGCCAGGAGTGATTCCTAAGTGCAAAGCCAGGAGTAACCCCTGAGCATCGCCGGGTGTGACCCAAAAAGCAAAAAAAAAAAAATTATTTCAGTATAGAAAAAGCCACAACTGTTGATATGATTCTAGAATTAAAATTGATTCGAGGGGCTGGAGTGATAACACAGTGGGTAGGGTGTTTGCCTTGCATGCGGCCGACCCGGATTCGATTCCCAGCATCCCATATGGCCCTCTGAGCAGCACCAGGAGTAACATTCTGCCCCTCTGCAGAGAATATTTGTGCAGTGGAGTTGAGTCGTTGGCCTAGCTTTAGTGGTGGGGAGAGGGAGCGTTGACTGGGCAGGGAATCTGGATATTTTAAAGGTATTTCTAAACTCAGGGGTTGGCGTTCATGAGAAAGGTGGGCTTTTTCAGGAAAAGTCAGCCCAAGGATGGAGATTACTCAGCATTGGAATTTTTATTACCATGTGTGGTAATTTTGAAACTGGCATCACATGTGTGATGGGGGACAGGATTATGGTAATTTTATTACCATCATTACAGTGTGAAATGACAAGTTTGATTGTAGGCCAGCTTTCTGCTAAGTCTCCTCTGCTCCCTGCCAGTTCTTCCAACTGACTTGTGTGGTTCTTGTGGCCACCGTATTGGCCTGCCTCAATTATACCCTCTGCCTGTCCCAAGTTCTGAATCTGAAATGGCCTGATGTGAGCTAGATCCCTCATCTGTGGTCAAAAACAGCCCTAGCTTTCACCCCGGGCAGATCTCAGAAGAAGCCAGTAAGAACCCGGCTTTAAATGAATGGTGACTATTTGGAACTCACTTTTGAAAACGGCATGCTGCTGTTTTTGATTATATTTCACATCCACATTATATTCTTGAGGCCTCTCGATTCCAGCCCTGCAGAAATAACCCTCCAGTTCTTACTGCTCTGAGTTCACATAAGCTGCTCCTAGATTTGTCTTCTCCACCTACCTCCCTTCGTGTTGCTATGGTCCTCCTTGTCTCAAGTTTCAAAGACAAGGGGGGGGGGGGGGGACAGCCGGAGCATTAGTCCAGCAGGGAGGGTGTTTGCCTTGCACGCAGCCAACCAGGGTTCGATCCCTGACATCCCATATGGTCCCTCAAGCACCACCAGGAAAAATTCCTGAGTGCAGAGCCAGGAGGAACCCTGGAGTATCGCTGGGTGTGACCCAAAAGGGGGAAAAAAAAAACCCAAAAATCAAAGACAAGCACTCCTAGGACAGGTTCCTGAGGACAGAGCTCAGCTGGGGCCACAGTTAAGTTCCCTTGTACAGCTCCAGCACTGGACAGAGGTAACCCAGATGAGAGTGTAAGAAGCTGTAGGAGGTCCTGATGGATGAAATTCACTCGCCAGTTTCTCATTCACACCTACCCAGTAGCCAAGACTTGAGCAACAATATCTGGCCCACATGTCTTACTGTTTGTACCAACCCAGAAACACAGAAGTTTTCTCTTTTTCCTTTTAAACAGACTAATTTCCCCGAACTGGTCAATGAAAGGTTATCTGCATGAACTCTTCCATATAATAACATTGTACTTGTCATTTTTTTCTAATTAAGAGCATGGACGCATATCGCTCTGACGTCTTTGACATTTTCCCGGGGACCTACCAAACTGTGCAAATGCTCGCCAACATACCTGGGACCTGGCTACTCCACTGCCATGTAGCTGACCACATCCATGCTGGAATGGAGACCACATACACCGTCCTCCCGAAAGAGGCGGTTTCAGGTGAGCGACTCTAGAGGCTGGGAATCATGACTATCTGCTCTGCTGCTTCGCCTAACTTCCTCCCTCAGTAGGAAGCATCTTTGGATGGGCTGCCTTTACTGTGTGGGCACACGGGGCATTGCCGGGGATCTAACTCATAGCCCATGCCCTCAAGATAGGTGCTTTGCTACCAATTCACCACCACCGGCCACTCCCCCAGTTCTTGCATCCACCACCCGGCCATGTGGTGGCAGTTACTAGGCACAGCACATGGAGAAACCCTTAAGTGTGTGTGTAAACTCACACAAGTAGGGGGCACGGCACACACACAGCGGCGGTGGCTCTATCTCTCCCGCCGCCCACGTTCGGTAGTCTCACCCTTCTCCCACCCCGGAGAGGTCGATGGCGATGGTCAGGCGGAGGAAGGAATGAGGGCCAGGCTGGTAGATATTAGTCGTAGTTTATTCTGATTCTCTCCTCATCTGTCTCTGCTCCGTCTCTCTGTCTCTCCTCCTTCTGTCTCTGCCCCTGCTCCCTCATGCCCAATCTACAGTCTCCTTATATCTCTCTCCAAGAGGAATTGGGGAAACAATTACACATAGGTGCGGTCACAATCAATAGGGGTAGAAATCAATAGGGGTAGAAATCTTGGCCTCAGGGAAGGCCGCTCCTAGCACAGATCCTCTCTCAGCAGGAGGACCCACCCTAGAGTGAAATCCCAAGGGTGTATCTCTCCTCTCCTTGTCCGACAAGCATATAAGCATATATAATATAAATCATTTTGTATGGATACAGTAAGAAATATCTTAAACTTATAGAATTGCTCTCCTAGGGCCATCTCGATCTCAGGCTACGGTGCTCAGGCCAGATAGTCCTTCCCACCCCTAGCAGGATCCTAGTCTTGTCGTTACCTTTGGATCATGACAGCATTTGTCCATGATCAAACTCTTAACTTATAGTTAAGAATCGTGGCACTTTGGCCTGGCCCATTTTGCTGCCAGGGTAGCTCACCGCTTGCCCTGGGTCCATTCAGTCCTTCGTCGGGACCCTGCTTTTGGGGTGTTAGGAACTAAGGGCAACTGAGGCTTAAGTCGAGAAAGCAGATGCCCGGGAGTGAATAATATTCAAGGCCAATCAAATCCTAAATTACAAAGCATAATGTTAACAGTCTTCCTGTATCTATACAAAAAGGATATTACTTTAAGGTAAACTATTCATAAGGCATAAGGAGAGGAGGAAGGCAATATTTCACTCATATATATAAAATCATAGATTTCTGGGAAACTGACCTTACAAATTAACAAAGTCTGATTAAGGGGAAAGCTGATTAACTGGGTGGGAAGGAGAGCATAGGGAAGACTGTTTACAGATAAACACAATGGAAGTGGAAGAGCTTCAGGAGCACTGTGATGGGTGTAACCAGATTGATGGGTGTAACCAGATTAATGGGTGTAACCAGATAAACCTAAGCTTCTTGTGGAAGGACAAAGCAATGTTACCTAACAAGTGTGAGTTTATAGAACAGCTCCTCCTCACTGGGTTCGGGGTGCCAGCTGGGTCACTGGGCCCTTTTCTGGGTGGCACACTCTTTATCCACACACATGGGATGGCAACGGCAAGTCAGTGCTCTGGGGTGTCTTCTATGTGAACATTCACCCCGTCCTCAGGGACAACATTCTCCTGATCTACGGTAAAGGAGAGAGAGAGAGAGAGAGACTGGGGACTGAACTCGAGCCCAACATACAGGCAGACATAGCATCACCGAGTCACAACCCTAGCCCCCAGATAAGAGACCATAGTCCATCTGGGGGGAACATCTCTGCAAAATGCTGGTGCTTTTTCTCAGTACAACAATGCTGATTTGTTCCTTCACTGTTGATTTGCTCCCCCGATGGTCCAATCAGCACTGTTACCTTTGATCCCTTGATTAAGGAGTTGTTTGCATGCTTTCTCAACTGAATGGTTACAATTTAGGATACTAATTATCTCTTATAATTCATAAAACTCACATGGGGAGGGAAGTTAATTTTTCTTTAAATAAGGCAAATGAGAGATTTTTAAAAACATAAAGCACAAAAATATAAACGAATCAAGAATAATTCAATACTAAAATAAAGGAGTAATTCAATATTAACACTGAAAAAATTGAAAAATATTTCAGAGTATCTACACTAATTCTTTCAACCACATAATAGATACTCATGTTTAATAATGGTCTTAAAATTTCTTTTCCTATAGAGACCAAGCCTGAGAGAAAGACATAAATTGATGATATGTGGAAACAAAACCAAAACAAAGAATGACTCCTAAAGCATGCGAAAGTATTGAATGGAATATCTGTTTTGTAATGGCAATAAGTATTAGAAAAAAAAAAAAACCTGAAAACGTACACCTGTGCTACATATATAGGAAATAGTGTATTCCCTGGCTCCGTAGGGAAGGCCAATGTTGTATACACATGACTTATATGCCATGTAACATTAGGGGCTGCTTGGAGCACCTGCTTAACAAAAGTACATTTCTCCCCATGCCCTGCTCTCCCCAAATCTATCGCCTGATGCCACTCCGGGTGGTCCTTTTAGTGTCATGATTAGAATTACTGACATGTTTCCCACCCGAGCCTTCCCATCAGCCCCGAGATGCACTGCTGACGTCATTTCTAACAAACCAGGGTGCACGGTGCTCGGGCTCAGAGGAAGTAAAAAATTAAACAGATACCCACTCTTAACAACACAACCGATTCCATTAAAATTGAAACAAAAATTAATGCAATAAAAACAAAAACGGCACCAGTGTGAGTTTTGTGAACCTCTGAAGAGACATGGCCAAAGGATGCTCATCTGGAACACAGAAAAAGCTGAGAAAACAAATCTCATAAATTAAATTCTGATTAAAGAGGAATATTGTCACTGTGGGAAATATAGAAGATGTTTCAAAATATAGAAAATGTCAGGGGACAGATGCTTGAGTCAAAACGTGCTACCAATAAGGGTGTGAACTTGGACTCAGAAGTCTTTAAAGAGGCAAAGGGAGGGATACAGTGATATAATTGGTACAATTGAGCATTTTTTTTCCTCATAGATTTTAGCTAGAAGAGCAGGAATATACATCCACAAAAGTTAAAACAGGGGCCAGAGCAATAGCACAGCGGGTAGGGCGTCTGCCTTGCACGTGGCCAACTCAGGTTTGATCTCCGGCATCCCATATGGTCCCCCGAGCACCGCTAGGAGTGTTTCTGAGTGCAGAGCCGGGAATAACCCCTGAGCATCGCTGGGAGTGACCCAACAACCCCCCCCCCCCAAAAAAAAAAGTTAAAACAAGTCTTTGGCTAAAAATCAAAGCAAACCACGCATTCCACAAACCATGTTAACCAGAAAGGGAGCTTGTAAACATTTACCTCATGACTCAGAGAGAAATACAGCATGGGCACTAAAAGAACCAGGAAAACACAGTCTAAAATCTTTTACTGTGGTGGAACATTAACACCGTTCTTAAAGGGGAAAAAACAAAACAAACTTTAAATAAAAAGCAGTCCAGTCAAGAAGTCTGGGGAAATCAGGGTTAAGACCCAGAGGCCCCGCAGTGACACGCTTTCGAGCTTGCTTGCACAATGTCCTGTGTGTTCCTGTGATGAAAAAAAGATTGTGTCCCATCTCTGATAACCGTAATGTTCCATGAAATAAAAAAGTCCCTTAAAAAACAAACAAAAAAAAAAACAACAACAAAAACCAGGTTTCTGGAGAAAGTTTTTCTGCCTTGCTGCTTTTGAATATTCTGGACAACGACACGAATTCAGTTCATAAATTAAGAAAAAAAAATAATGCCATAATACTGCCGCGTGGTCAGGAGGCAGCCAGAAGCCCGGGTACTGTTTGTACATATTCAGCACGAGAACCCTTCATGGACGTCGGAGCTGGCTTTGCCTTTGCCAGGTTCGGTCTCCGGACTGGACGAGGGGGGGGGGCACTTTCGTTGCCGACGGACGGCCCCTCATGTCAGGGCTTTCTTCCGGCTGCAGTAGAGGAGATAGGGCAGGAAAAAGGCAGCCGTGCCGTCCTCGGGGAGAACCGTCAGGAAGTCCCGTAGCTCCAGCTCCACGGCGACGACGGACAGTGTCTCTGTTTGGGGGGAAGATGAGCAACAGTGATCCCAGAGAGTCTGCCTTTCACCCCCAACGCAAAAGCTGGCCACCCGGAGTGGGTTCAGCCTGAGCGCTTAACTGCCAAGGAGATACAGGAAAATCAGACTGTCTCTGTCTCTCTCGGAGAGGGCAGGGGGAGGGGCTTTGGGGGCACAGAGAGCGATGCTCGGGGCTTACTCCTGGCTCTGCACTCAGGAGTCACTCCTGGAGGTGCTTGGGGGTGGGAGGGGTGGGATTTGGGATGCCAGAGATTGAACCCGGGTAGACTGTGTGCGAGGCAAGCGCCCACCCGCTGTACTTCCACTCTGGCCCCCAAATCAGTCTCTGAAAGCCACAGGTGGCCCACAGGCATTTATCTGTTCTCCCTAGAATTCTCCTGAGCTAATTTTCTTAGCAGCCCCAGGGGCCTGCGGCTTTGCTGCAGGGTTCTCCCACTATTTTTTTCAATCATTTCCTCTGTCTGCTATGGGTGAATGCAGGCAAGCATCCAAGTACCGCTCTGGATGTGAGGGTGCTGTGGCAGCTAACTGTTGAAACACGCACTGCCCTCACTTGGCTCCTCCCTCTAAGGAGGTTTCAGTAACGCTTGCATCTCTTTCCGTGACAGTTCTTCTTCCCTAATGGCAAAACAATGTGCTCAGCTGAACCTTGTCGATAGTCTAGACCTTGGTTCCCAGGCGCGCCCACGGGGAGGGCGGGCACCTGTCCATGCTGCCCTCCTCTGGAAGGAGATGCCCTCGCTCCCGCATGGTGAGCAGAGAGAAAATCTTCTGTTCCGTGTGCGTGCGTGCGTGTGTGTGTGCGTGTGTGTGTGTGTGTGTGTATGTGAGAGAGAGAGACAGAGAGAGCTGCGCACTGTCATCGGTCCAGTGTTTAGCAACCTGATCCTCCAAAGGGAACACTGATCCCATGGCAAGTGAGTGGGTGAAGCAAGAGTGAGACCGGGAGAGGGCACAGACTGTCATGGGCAAAGCTGAGGTGCACCAGAGCCCCCTTTCCCCACTGGTGACTCGAGAGCCACGGAAGCACCAAATTTCCTGGCCACCTGCTCACAGAACCATCTTCCCGAACCCCTAGAATGGCATTAAAATGCACCAAGGCACAGACGGCACCGCGATAACCCAGGCTACTAAGCCCTTCTGCATAGCCCCGGCAGGAGCAGTTTACGAGCCCCAAAGCGGAGACTGCAAAGTCTCTGAGGTACAGAAACCCGGGAGGGGACCTGGGGCCGAGCAACACTGCTCCCGCCAGGCACTGCCGCTGGCCAGTGAGTGGCGACCTTGGGCTCCAACGCCTCAGAACAAGATCACTATCTGAAACCTGCACTTGGTTGAAATCCGCCAGCTTGTCTAGAAAACTCTCGTCCAATGGTTAGAACGAGTTCTTTCTCGCTGGTGGAATTCTGAAATGACCCCTCATGCTCCATTTCTGTCCCTGAGTAGGAGAAATCTCAGTCAGTGTGCTCACTGCTCACCCGGAACACAGTGTCAAGGGTTTTCTTGACCCACGTCACTGGTAACACCAGTGTCAGGGGTTCTGCCTCCTGCGGGGGGGGAGCGGGGGGCCTTTGCCAGTGAGACTGTGCCCCTGAGGGGACATCTGCCAGTGTCCAAGACAGTTCATCATAATTGGGGTGAAGCTACTGCAATGCACCCCTAGACACACAGAAGAATTCTGGGCTCCAAATAATGTCGATAGTGTCCAGGCTGAAAAAGGCTGCGTCAAAGAGATCACGGCTCACAGCTCAAGGCACAGAGAGGTCCCTGGGCTCCGTCTCGCCTTCCCCAGTTCCAATACCAACTCTACAATCGGCCCTGAACTTCACATTGGTCCCCGGATGTGGAACGCGGCGTGCATCAGGGCGCTGCATATGGAGCAGAGCCAGAACCGGTTTCCCTTCCTGGATTCCCACCTGGGTGTGTTCCCGTGTACTCTGGGGGGCAATAGAGTGCAGCTGCCTGGAAAGACCCTAAAGTGGTTCAGATGAGACCCTGACGTTGTTCAGATGCCTCCCCTTTCTCCATGCACCTCCCAGGGGTTACAGGAAGGCTGGCCCCCCTGTGCAGGCAATGTGTTGTCAGGTATAACACGAGAGACACAACAAACCCAACAGCAGCTCCTGAGGTATCACAGGCTGAGTCCAACCAGACGCTCTCCTGACAGAATTCACACACACACACACACACAGAGATACACATAGACACAAACAGACACAGACACACAAAGCAGAAAACAGACATGCATACCTGACACACACAGAGACACACATACAGAGATACACACACACACAGACACATACAGACACAGAGACACAAACACACACATTCTTAGGTTTTGCAAACCTATTTTGAAAGTGGAAATGGAACCCTTAGTGGAATGATTATGAGTAAAAGAAAAAGCTCTAGTTTCGTAACTGAAAGGAATCAATGAACACAAAATGTGAAGATGTGTAAGTGGGAGAAACAATGAAGTTGGGAGTAACTTCCTGGGTGGGTCCGTGAAGACCCCTTCGATCACCTGAGAATCACCTGGAAAAACTAGAGAAAGCCTTCAGTAAATCGCCTTTTGGTAATTTGACGGCTCTCGGGGCCAGAGAGATGGCTCCAAGGCCTAGCACACACCCTGGCATATGGCTCAAGTTCAATCCTTGGCACCGGTGTTTCATGAAGATCACGGGGTGCAGCGCCCGCCTCAAATAAAACCCCCACAAAATAGTCCAATTAAAAACAGAGGCTCTCGATGAAATGTATAACCACGCGTGAACCGTCACATCACGCTACCTTTCAACGACGCCAGGTAGAGCTGACATCTCTCTCCTCCACGTCTGATTCTCTGGCAAAGTTCAGGCAACAGTTTCCTCCACCACAAAGTCTATCTTAGGGAAAAAAGAAGACATTTTCAGTCTGACACATTGAACATTCTGAGCCAATGGGAAGAAGGTGTGGGGGAAGCAGAGGGCAGACTCATCGCAGTGGGGAAGACGCCGAATGGACCGTTAGCAGCTCTAGCGGCAGCTGGACTATGAACACTTGACGCTGACACAGGTCACTGGTCGCCTATACTAAACGTGGCTTAATCAGCATACATGGTCACACCAGCGACAGCCTAATGCAGCCATATCATGAAAGCTGAGTTTAGAGCTTGAACCGCTCCCTGTCCTTATTATCCATACATACACACAGCTGTTTTCCAGAAGAAATATACACGTGCTCTCGAATCATCCCTCAGGTGGCAAGCAAGAGAACCGTTCACGTATAAAACTCTCCTGACTTCTCAGGCCTGAGAGGTAGCACAGCAGGGAGGTCGCCTGCCTTGCACGTGACTGACCCAGACTCGATCCCCGGCACCCCTGATGGTCCCTGAGCACTGCTAGGAGGGATTCCTGAGTGCAGAGTCAGGGGTAAGCCCTGAGCACTGCCAGGCGTGGTCTCAAAACCACACAGAACGACTCTCCTAACTTCCCAACTAAACACCGAGCACAGAAAGTATTTTTCCCTCCATATGATGCTTCAGAAATCCTCGGGTCTAAGTCTGATTTTCCAGCCACGGAGCTTTTGAAAGATAAAAGCCCCCCTGGCCATGCATTTTCTTGAAGCACACATCACACACGCCCACACGTCTGATCCTTGTCACTGCCCCTCCCTCAGAGAAGGCCACACAGGGACAGGGGCTGGTGCTGGAGTCCCAGTGACCAAGCCGGCGGGGGACCTGGAAGGGCATACCCGATTCTCCTCCTTCAGCTCATGGTTGGCGTAGGGGATGACGGCCTCCGGGCAGCGCTCCAGGAGTGTGTCCAGGCACTGCTCGTACCCTTTCAGGCGTGTGCGGCACAGGATGTGGATGCTGAGGCCCGCAGCCGTGGCTTCCGAGAGCGGTCCCAAGAACGGCAGAATGGAAGCTATGTCAAACGAAGGACCACATATGAGAGACTATGAACAGAAAAGCGAGATGTGCTGGAATGAGTCATCAAGACCACAGGTTTTTTTCTGTTTTTTTTTTTAACTATGTAGATGTTTTTATGATAGCTTTTGTTACATAGGAAAATATTTTTTAATTTTTTTTTTATTAGCGAAACACCATGAGGTACAGTTGTAAACTTACAAGCTCCTCTGCTTGGGTTTCAGTTATACAATGATCGAGCACCCATCCCTCCACCAGCGCCCATCCTCCACCCCCACCAATCCCAGTATCCCTCCTACCCCTTTTTTTCTTTAATAAAAGACAAAAGCTTAATTGCCCACATTCCACCGCCCACCAAAAATCAGACTCCACGCCTGACCTCCGCCACACCGGCAGGCCTGCCTCTGTATTTCAGACCCTCCGCTTGCACCTACAACCTTCCAGGGGAGGTCAAGCTCCCAGCCGACATCCCCGGGGCCTTTTGGGGACATCTCTCATTCACTTGGTTCCCAGCAGCCTCCACACCCAGTGGCCTCTCTCATCTGGGGTCACAGCTGGGCCCATAACGCCGCGCACTGCTGCCTGTGTGGCTACAGTCTGAGTTGCTCACTGCACTGTACACTGCTCGCACTTCTACTCCTGGTCCTGGGTGAAGATCTGCAGAGAAGAGCAACGCCCAACCGAACCCCTCAGAGACTCCCAGTAAAGAGGCCGACAAAGATTTCCCCTCAGAGCACAGCAAACATGACAGGAAGCTCTGCAGACGCCCACCAAACTCAACGAATGAAAATAAGAGTACTGGGCAGGAGGGCAGGAGGCCCTCCAGTACCAACCAGCCCTGTGACCTCTCAGACAATGATGAAGAAACACCCTCTGAGGGTGTCCAATGCGCACAAAGAAACAATGTCCAGACAGTCGGGGAAGCACGAGAACGACCGTGCTGAAATGAGAAAACCACAATCCGAAACTACAGACTAAGGAGGCGACGTTCCGAGCAGCAGAATGAAAGCAGCTAAGAAAAAAGGTCAAAGGGTTCCCAGCTGAGATGCAGGGGACCTCTAAAAAACGACAGAGGATGGGGGATAAAGGGTCTGAGAAGAAATGAACAGCACCGCAGAGAACTATGGGACGAGCCCGAGAGGAACAACAAAGAATCATCCGAGTCCTGTGGCACAGGAAGGCAGATGCAATGAAGAGTTACTGGTTGAAGAAGCCACAGGCAAGAACTTCCCAGCTGAGGGGGAATGGCACCACCAGCAGGTCAACCTGTACCTGTGAGGCGAGTGCACCAGCAGCCTCATGGCGCCTTCAGACTTCCAGATACCCCAAAATTGCTGCTGTGCCTTTGGCCAGACCCCAAAAACTTGGGGCAAAGTTTACCAAGAAAGTAAACGGCCAAAAGTTAGGTATGTGGGAGACACATCCACAAACCACCTCTGGCTCAGCTATATAATTGGAGGCAAGGCCTCTCTGGTTCCTGATCGAACTGCTTAACGGCCACGATCCCAGGGAATCAGAGAGAAATCTCGAAACCCAACGGCTTTTGGCAGAAATGCGTTTGGTCCTGCAGTAGGCTACTGGTGCCGGGCCACCCCAGGTGGGAATAGGTTTTGTGCCTTGGCCTGTTCCCCCTGGCGGCCCGGTGGCCGCCATCCTCCAGAGGCCACGGACAGTCAGTTTTGGACCCACAGTGACGAGACACATGAGGCCTCAGGGATGGGGGTGGAGCTGGCCCTTTCCTCTCCGTCCCAATGAGACCCCGAGTCATCGTCCACGAACGGCCTCTCTGGTTCCTTAATAAGCTTCCTAATGGCCATGAACCCAGAGACTCAGGAACAAATCTTGGAACCCAGCAGGTTTAGGCAGAAATCCCTCCAGATTTAAGTGTTAAAACTTCGGAATTTCATCTCATGGGAAGAGGGGCAGTACTAGCTCGTCCCTCACGCCCTACAAGGTTACAAGTTGCCCCCCACAAGCGGCTCTCTGGCAGAGCCATGGCTCCAGAGGCAAAAGGACTTACTTAACCCAGAGCCCGCAGATTGTGGCAAAAAAGTGAATGGACCATGTGTTAACCCACGGCGCCATGCCTCCCTAGGAGGGAAAGGGTGTTGCTCCCTTCCGCCTTTTTCCCCCATGGCAGCAAGGTGGCCACCGCCTCAGAGCTTATTGGAAAGCCAGATCTGAGCTGGCGGTGACGGGGCAACTGCAGTCTCATGGGAAGAGGGGCGGTACCAGCTTGTCCCTCACGCCCTACCAAGGTCACGAGTTGCCCCCCACAAGTGGCCCTCCAGACGCACAGAAACCAATCTCATAATTATTCTGGCTCTTTGCAGAAATCCCTCCAGACTTACCTAGTAAAATATCAGAAATCGAAAATCGCAAGGCCACAAAGTGGCCATGTGACATCATATGGTTCTCATAACCAGCTATAGAAATAAATTATTTCACAATGCCTTTTCAGCAATTCTGATTGTTGGGGGGAAATTCTAAACAATAATGGTGCATCTTTCGTTGAAATAATGAATGTAATCAAAGTAGAAAGAGAGTTAAGTAGAAATCATCTGCCTCACAGGGTATATTGGGGTTCTTGGTGGTGAAAAATAAGGACTGGTAAAGGGAAAGGTGTTTGATCATTGTATGACTGAGACTTAAACCTGAACGCTTTGTAACTTTTCCCACAGTAATCCAATAAATAAATATAAGGATAAAAAAAGAAATTCCCAGTTAAGGAGTCCAGGCACCTGATCCAAGAGACTCCAAGGGTCCCCGAGAAAACAGACCCAAGGGAAAACACTTCAAGAGACACTGTAATCAGAATGACAAAAGGCAAAGACAAATATTGAAAAAGAAGGAACTTATATACAAAGGAAAGTCCTTAAGATGCACAACTGATCTATCAAATGAAACTCTATATGCCAGAAGAGAATGGTAGGATATGGTTTTTAAAAATTTAAAGCAGAGGGCTGGAAGAATAGCACAGCAGGTAGGGAGTTTGCCTTGCATGTGGCTGAGCCGGGTTCGATTCCCAGCATCCCATATAGTTCCCCTGAGTGCGTGAGCCAGGAGTAACCCCTGTGCATCGCCAGGTGTGATCCAAAAAGAAAAGAAAACAAAACAAAACAAAACAAAATAAAACAATGCAGGAGCCAGAGAGACAGTGTAGCAGGCAGGGCGCCTGCCTTACATGCAGCAATCTCTGGCATCACAGATGGTCCTCCAAGCACTACCAGAGAAATTCCTCAGCAAAGAGCCAGGAGTAAACCCTGAGCATCACATGGTGAGGCCCCAAAACAAAACAAATCGACGAAATGAACACTTCATTAAGAATATTCAACAAGATCGTAATTCAGATGTGAAGGAACAATGCAGAGCTTCACGGACAAGCAACAACTCGGGAAATTCATAGCGCTGAAACCAGTTTTGCAGTAAGTATTAATAAGGGAGCTTCTCTAAGAGACAAGACAAACTTCTCAGCCCTTTGCCACTGTGTACAGCATTCGCTCTTGGCAGTGACGACGACCCACTACTAGACTAAGAAAGGTCTGTTTATCTCTGGTTAGTTAAGGGCCTTAGGTGATTTAAGTAATGAATTATGTTTCATTTACTTTGAATGTCATTTCTATGTCTATTCAGTTGATTTTTTTATTCTGTAGTTTTTTTCTTTTATTTACTAATACAGGTTTATAATATTTTCTAACAAAACCAACATTACCATTTTAGGATCGAAAGAAAGTTTAATAGGACTATTTAGATTTTCCTTTAAATTTTTTGGTTCTCTTCTCTTCACCCTTACTAAATTCTGTATCTGTAGATACATCTGTGGACGTATTTATAGAAATAATACCCTTTTTCACGTAAATCTTAAAATGTATTAGCAAAGAATTATTCATACTATTAATTTTTCAATGTGTCTGCCTGTAAAAAAAGACACAATTCTTGGGGAAGAATTTTTATCAACTTATCAATGATTTTCAGAAATTTAGCTTTATTCATCTGTATGTGGAGGTATCGCAGCTTCCACAATCAAAAAAGATCTCTCTCATGTGAATACAGAGAAACAGTAAAGATGGCCACCAGTCCCAGAACTGGAAGTCTTGTGTACAGGACTGAGCTTGCTGTATAGGGCAGAGTGGAGGAGTCCGGTGGACCCGGGTGAAGGGAAGTGGATGCTGAGGTGCCGGCTGTGGGGTTGGAACATGTACGAATGGAAAGTATAACTAACTGCACTATAAATCACAGCACCGCAAAAACAAAAACAAAAAATGGGGCCGGAGTGATAGCACAATGGGTAGGGCGTTTGCCTTGCATGTGGCCAACCCAGGTTCAATCCCCAGCATCCCAGATGGTCCCCCAGCACCGCCAGGAGTAAAATTCCTGAGTGCAGAGCCAGGAGTACGCCCTGAGCATCGCCAGGTGTGATCCAAAAAGAAGAAGAAAAAAAAAACAACACCAGCAAAGGGGAATAATAATAATAATAAACATAAAATTGAACTGAAGTCTTAAATCTTGAAAGATGTCTCTTTTGAACTAAAGGTAATCATCTTTTATTAACTGGGGTACATGCACTAGTACTGGGGCACCCTGAGAATTGGGGCACCTCCCAGGAATGCTGGGGGACAGGGGGTTAGCCTGATGGTACTCGGGGGAGACCAAGGCTACACCCAAGTGATGTTCAGGGCCACGCACTGCTGGGGACCAAACTCAGGGCCTTGACGTGCAAGGCAGGTGTTCTAGCACCTGAGCTCTCTCCCTGCATGTGCCCCCAGACGGCAACCAGTTTTTTTTTTCTTTTTGGGTGACACCCGGCCCCGGCGATGCTCTGAGGATTACTCCTGGCTCTGCACTCAGGTGTTCGGGGAACCATATGGGATGCTGGGAATCAAAGCCGGGTCGGCTGCAAGGCAAACGCTTCACCCGCTATACTGTCGCTCCAGCACCCAGTTTTTAAGCAATATTTTATTTGCTTTGGACAGATAAGCAAGAATGCTTTAGAACGCGCTCCTAAGGAAATAAATGACATGTGGTGAAAGATTTATGTCCAGTGATGTCCATCACAGGAATGACTATATTAGCAAATACCCAGGAGCAATGTAAAAGTTAAATAAGGAACATGGAAATAAATGATGGGGCATTCATATAAAGGAATATTATATGGAGACTAGTTAATGAACATCTAGTGTGAGGCTAGCTCAGGATAAAACTGAGCGTAAAACACTCAACACAAAATTATATCTCGTGTCTGATGAGTTCTGTAAAATCCACCTAGATTCGCACATAGGAAAAAATACTTTTGGAAGAGCATAAATATTTGCAGTCGAGATGAGCTTCCTGTATGTGAAGACAAAGTTTATTTTTTGTTTTCTATTTCATTCTTCTCTGGGAGTAGAAACTGTGTAAGTAACCAAAACGGAAACATGGCAATGAAGGCAACGAGAGGAAGTGTTGAGTCTCTGGTCGCTGATCACCAGCACTATCTGTCACAAGCTGAATGGCAGAGTCGGTGCTATTTCAGCATTCGAAACACGAGTGGCACTTACTTTTAGGCATAAAGGCGATGTCTGATTCCACCACCCAAACTCTCCCTTTCTCCTGGGTAAAGCATGGCCCCACCCTGATCTTCTCCTTCCTGTATTCTCTTTGCTACAGCTTCTTCTCCGCCTCACTGGAGGACTTGGAACTTCAGCTACCTACTCATGCTCAGCGTGATGATTGCACTCCAGGTACCTACTAAAGAATGGCTGGGAGAATAAGGTGGGAACCTTCCCTTCCGGATAACTTCACAATGACCTTCACGGGAATTACTTCCTGATGACAGGAGGGCCAATGTGAAATCAGGTGATAATCTCCCAATACGGGGAAAACAGATGATTTCTATGCTCAGTCATGACTGACCAGGATCCTGAATGGCCTGAGTAACCCAAATGAGGGTCAAAACCAAAGTGCTGCCTTGGAGAGACAGTACAAGGGTCAAGGCACTTACCTTACAGGGCACTGGCCCCGGCTCAATCCCTAGCACCACAAATAGGGTCCCCCAAGCACTACCAGGAGCCACCCCCGAGCACAGAGCCAGCAGGAACATGGTCAGGAATGGACCACCCTGCTCCCGGGCAGGGAGTGGGCTTGCCAAGGTTGAAATTTCTGCAGTTATCCAGGAACATTTCTACTTGGCCTCATCCATACCATCCAGACTTTAAAACGGAAATGTAAGACGTGGGAGCGGTACCCTATTGGGTCAGGCTGCCTTGCAAGCAGCCAACCCAAGTTTAGTCCCTGACTCCCCAGATGATCCCCGAAGCACCACCAGAAGTGACCCATATGCACAGAGCAAGAAGTAATCCCCTTAATACTGCCAGGTATGGCTCCAAACGCCCTGAAAATAGGAACACAAACTACTGGATCAAAATTGGTCCCAATGTGTCATAAGCCAAAAGCTGTCTGCTTCGAAGTGTGTGTGTGTGTGTGGGGGGGGGGGGGGGGGCTCCAATTTTTTTATCTTTCCAATCTTAGAAATGGACTTCTCTCTACCCCAGCACATGCACGACCCCTTTCCATCTCTGGCCTCCACGTCAGACACCCTCGGCTGGCCCTGCCCCTCCCTCCTTAAGCACCACCAGGAAGATGAGCTGGGGTGGGGCCAGGGGGCAGAGCTTCCCCCGGCACAGCCATGCCCTGGGGAGGCGGCGCTGGGCAGGGCTGGCCACAGCTGCTTTTGCTCTCCGACCTGTGTGCAGGGGCAGTGGGGGTCGGAGTTGGCATCATACAGTTTGGAAAAGGCCCTCCAGGTTCTCCAAGTCCTCCCAGACTCCCCATTGCTCTGCCCAGAACAAAGAGCCTCTTTTGCTACCAAACATGCATTTATTTATTTATTTATTTGGAGGAATTGACCCACAGAAAATTTAGAAAATTACAATTAGGAAAAAGACTTAAAAAAAAAAAACTGAAGCTGGAGACAGAGCAATAGCACAACAGACAGGTACTTGCCTTACACGTGGCTGACCTGGGCTCAATCCCTGTCACCTTTTATGGTCCCCCGAGGCTACCGGGAGTGACCCCTGAGCACAGAGCCAGGAGCAAGCCCTGCGCACTGCCTGGTGTGGCCGCACCCACTCCCCTCCTTGTGCCCTCTGCCCCCACCCACAAAAACAAAACAAAACCAAACTTGAGGCTGACTAAATTCCTACCTGCACAGCAAAGGCTCCTGAAAAGGACCCATTTAAAGAATGTAAACGGGAGCCTGGACATTGCTGGGTCAGGTGCGGCTGGCAACACTCCTGCAATCAGGACTTTAAACCTGCAGAATCTCCTGTGCGGAGGAGGAGCTGCCTCCAAGCCCTTCTGAGCGCCTGGGAAATGCCTGCACCCTCGGTGGCACAACCGGCAGCTTAGACTCGGTCCCCAGATCACCCGACTGCGCTCACTCGGCCCCAAGTGGCTTAGCCTGGGCCGCCTAGCCCATGAGAGCCGGTGCCTGTCCTGCCGGAATCCCTGCAGGAAGACCCACATGCTCTGACTGCACGTGAAAAACTCATTCTCAGGAGCCAGAGAGAGCGGCTACTTTGCCCCATTTCCAACAACACAAACAGAGGCCTAAACTGTGAGAGAGAACACTAAGAATACACACACACACACACACACACACGAGAAAGAGAGAGAGAGAGAGAGAGAGAGAGAGAGGAGAGTCAACCTGCTGACCCCAGCTCTGTCCACAGGAGACCTGGGTTCAGTCCCCAGCAGGATATGGCCCCATGCACTGCTGGGGGTGACTCCTGAACACTGCTGAATATGGTCCCAAAGCAAAAAAAAAAAAAAAAAAAAAAGAAGAAGAACAGAAATAAATACAAGCATAGTAAAATTTGCTCCACCCCATTAATCACAAAGTGCTCCTGAGCACTTGAGGCCTGAGGCCGATTAGCCACATGGTCGGATCCTACTCAGGGGTCCACAGGCAGGAAACCAGGCTTCTCCCCAAAGGACGGCCTTCCCCATAGTTCTGGGATTGTGGTGGAGGGTGGTGTTAACTACGGATTGTGCTTCCCGCCAAACCAGGAGTGACCCCTGGGTGCTGCCAGGTGTGGTCCCCAAAGCGAAACAAACCCCAAACCCACCCCATATGGTTCCAAATATTCCTGGAACAGGCACATTCATGTGAGAGGCGGTGATTCTATTTACCTGCAATTTCCTAAGGTCTTCGGCGTAATTTTTATCGGGCAAGGAATCGGAGGATATTAAGATGCTAACCCATGGGTAGACCAAGCCATAGTGACCACAGGCGCTGATCTGCAATGCAGAAGACATTTTTTCATCATTAGAGTACACTCAGGGCTCACTCCTGGAGGGGTTCCGTGGCCCACATGGGGTGCCGGGGATCAAACCGGGGTCAGACACATGCAAGGCCAGTGCCCTCCCCTCTGATCTATCTCTCTGGCCCTAAAGTGGGCATTTCTGGATGCAAAGAGCAAGCAAGGGACATTGGAAGGAGAATCCCCCACCCCCTGCAGGTGGGCACCACCTTCCCAGGGCAGGAAGCCTTTGAGATAGGATGCAGTAGGGAGATTTTCAGCTTTGTGCATACATCAGCACTGAATACTGCCTTATGGTTGCAATTTTAAAATATTCCAGAGAAAAGAGCACAGGGCACACAGCCAACCTGGTTTGATCCCTGGCACTACATATGGTACCGAGTTCCACAAGGAGGGACTCCGGAGCACTGAGCCAGGAGGATGCCCTGAACACAGGGGGCTGCAGCCCAACTGCACCCCTCCCCACCAAGTAATATTTCAGATGTTCTGTCTAGCAAAAGAACCATGGTACTTCTAAATTAATTACATTCCAAGAAAGTTAATAGTATTGAATACCATTTCTATTTTCCTTGGGAGACAGAAATCTCTTCAAGACAATCCCAGTGAGCCCCCCGTTACTCAGGAAACAGGTGACTTCACCAGTGGGATGGAGGAGCTGGAGCGATAGCACAGTGGGGAGGGTGTTTGCCTTGCATGCGGCCGACCTGGGTTCGATTCCCAGCATCCCATATGGTCCCCCAGCACCGCCAGGAGTAATTCCTGAGTGCAAAGCCAGGAATAACCCGAGCATCGCCGGGTGAGACCCAAAAAGGAAAAAAAAAAACCCAGTGGGATGGAGGGGGGCTCTAGGGGAAGGGAGCTGGAGGGCACAGCTGACGGGACAGGGGTTCTGTCCCACATATCATCCTGATCCCGCCAGGGAGGGCGGAGAGGGGACCCCAAGGGAGGAGGGAAGTGGTGATGTCTGGGGCACACTTCCTCCTCCCGTTCTTTGGTACCATTTTAGCAGGTGAGGTAGGGGCAGGAGGGGCTGTCTTTGAGAACAAGAAATGACTGACCTGCATTGGCAGCTTCCTCAGAGCCCCCCCCCCCCCCCCCGCGATTTTTTTTGCTTTTTGGGTCACACCTGACAATTCACAGGGGCTACTCCTGGCTCTGCACTCAGGAGTTACTCCTGGCAGTGCTCGGGGGCCATATGGGATGCTGGGACTTGAACTCAGGTCAGCTGCGTGCAAGGCAAACGCCCTCTCCACTGCTATCGCCCCAGCTCCCATCATAGACCCGGTTTTAGGAGTATTTTTAACCCTCCTTCAATAAGCAATCTGGGAACTTATGGCCCAGAGGGCTCATTCTCCCGGTGCGGAACGGCCAAGCTCAAGACTGCATCTCACCCCGTCACCTTACCAGGTCTTCAGCTGTGCGCAGTGGCGTGGTGTCGGGGGGCTGCCCGTTGGCCAGTCTCCATATGTACTGTGACGTGAGTTTGAGGAAGAGTTCCTGAAGAACCACCTCCGGGATACAGGCGACCAGCTGAGCCTCCCAGAAGTCGACCAAGAGCTGCGGGATGGCGCCTTCCTCCTTCCCGCAAAGCAGCTGGCAAAGAGGGCGAGAGGGTGAGAAGGGGCACTGGCGGGCACAAGCGGACTCTGTGCGGAGTGCATCCCCGACTCCGTGACTAGCTCCACAATGGGCCACGCACAAGCGCACCGAGACTTGTCATTCCGAACGATTCAGTCGGCTTTGTTTACTTCTATTTCTGAGCTTCCGGGGCACACCTTGCAGTGCTTGGGAAACACTCCTGGGTCTGTCCTGGGGCTGCTCCCACCAGTGCTTAGGGGGCCTGGAATGAGGCCCAGGTCTCCCACCTGCCAAGTACACACTCCAGCCCCCAGATCGAGCTCCCGGGCCCACCGCCAGACATTTAAGCAGGAAACAGATCCTCGGCTGCACAAATGAGATTTACCCATAGAGTTCTCAAGCTTGGATATTTAGCTTCTTCATTGATTATGTACCAATCTGCTTTTTTAAAAAAATTTTCCAATTAAAAAAATACGCTCACTTTCTAATTCTGCTCCCAATCCCTACTTATATTTACAAGGTCAGGCAGAAGAAAATGTTGGGTGGGGGGAATGTGGATTTGGGACCACAGCCAGCAGTAGCCAGGACTACTCCTGACTCAGTGCTCAGAGGTCACTCTTGGCGGTGCTTGGGGGACCATCTGGGATGCTGGGGTCAAACCAGGATCGGCTGTCACACGGCTAGTGCCTTATCCCTGGTACCACGGTTCCGGCCCAGAACTACATTCTTTTGTTGTTGTTGCTTTTTGGGTCACACCCAGCGATGCTCAGGGGTTACTCCTGGCTCTGAACACAGGAATCACTCTCCTGGCGGTGCTCAGGGGACCAAATGGGATGCTGGGAATTGAACCCAGGTTGGATGTGTGCAAGGCCAACGCCCTACCCACTGTGCTATTGCTCCAGCCCCCCAGAACGACATTTTTGAAGCGCCAAACCTTGAAGAAGGAATCTGCTTCTTCCACTCCGATCTGGCTGTTCCTCAGAGAGCCCAGGACAGACGCCACGAGCAGGCCAGGCCAGGTGTCCTTCAGGTAGCCGGCAAGCTCAGTGGGAACCATTCTCCCCTTCCTCTGCTGGATCAGCAGTCGGGGCTCCAGGGCGAAGCCGCACACCAAGCTCATCTTGCAAAGAAAAGGGAATTGGAATAAAAGGCCTGTGGCAGTGAGGTGGTCGAGGTAGAAACACACACTGAGGCACTGGACAGTCAGGACTAAGCTATTCATCACTCCAATCTCAGTGCTCTCTTCCACTACCAAGACTAGCTTTCTGGTCAAAGGAGGGCATCGGGGGTAACTTCCTTCAAGGGGTAACTGTATCCAGTCAACATTAAGGGGAGTGGCATACCCTGGCAATATTCACGGGTTACTCCTGGCTCTGCATTCAGGAATGACTCCCGGCAGTGCTCGGGGGACGCTATGGGATGCCGGGGATTGAACCTAGGTGGGCTGTGTCTAAAGCAAGAGCCCTACCTACTGTACTACTGCTTGGGCCCCAAGCCCCAATTTTATATAGCAGTTAAAACTCAGGTCTCTGTTCTGAAAAAAAATGACAGATGTGAAGTCTTCACAATCATGGAGGAAAATTCATCTTCTAAGAATTTCTTCAAAGACCTCCTCACTGTCAATGCTGGCTTGCTCTCCTCAGCATAACCAAACAAGTAATTTGTACAGGACCACAGCACTTCCGCCCACTGGGGTTCAGAAACCAGAGTCATCCTATGAGCGGCTGACCACAGCCAGGCATGAGAACACAGGCACCAGGCTACCGAGATCAAATCCTGGCTGACCACTGGCACTATGATCTTGGACGAGGGTTTTTTTTTAAGCTCTTTATGTTTTAGTTCCCTCATTGCTCGAAAAGCTCTAGCAGCGCCTCTCTGCCAGCAATGTGGCACAAACTAAGATGGGACACACAAGAGACCTAGAGCTGACCCGGGACGAGGGAGGTTCTCAATGAATATCACTCCTCCATCTCTCCCCCTCAGAAGCCCATCTTTGGTGCACATCCCTACGTGACTTGGCGTCTCTACGTGGCTTCCAAAGGCCAGCTCCCGTTTCCTTGAAAACCCATGCAGAAACCCAAGCATCTGTGAAGTCACCCGAGATCTTTCTCCCCAGTAGATATTTGAGCTTCTTAGACTACAGGACCCAAGCACAACACTGGGCAACGTCCGTTACCAGAATTGCTTTAAAGTCAATTTCTTGACGATTTATTGCGGGTTAATGTCTGATCTGTGAAGCCACTGTGTACATTTCCATAGCCGGGTTTGCATCAAAGCTTTGTGAGCGAGAAGGGCGCACGAGAGGAGAAAGGGTTCAGGGAGCCGGGGACGCTCCTTAGCCTGTGCTGGCTCCCGTCCCGTCTGCTGTGCCCGTGTCCTCATCAGTGGCGTGCTCACAGCGGTCATCCACCACTCAGGCCGGAGCGGGCGGCTGGCCGGGGCAGGGCTGGCCCTTCACTACAGCTCCCCACAGTACTACTTCTCATCCTCCCGCCTTTCTCATTCGCCAGACCCCAGCACCTCCCCGCCCCCCCACACCCCCCAGTGTTCCATTCCCGGATGATATTCCTACAGCCAATAACAAGGAGCCGGCCAGAAGACGGCGGAACCCCTGGGCCCAGCCGGGCCCAACGCTGTGAACGCCAGGCAGGGGGCCTACCTCGGGATGGCTTGCCATTTCGTTCCTGTACGTGTCCAGGTCGCCCATTTTCAGAGCCATGGTGGCCTTGGTCAATGTCACCAAGACGGACGAGCACAGGGACGAATCCAGCCTCCTGAGGTAGCTCATGGCAGCTGAAGGGTTCAGGTTCTTCATAGACGGAGAGCAGAGGATGTGGGGCAGCTGCTTCGGCTCTGCCACGAAAAACATCTCCGCCACTTTGGCTGCTAGCTCCTTGGGGGAGAGGGCGAGCAAGAAACAAATGGCCCGGCAGTCAACAGAGGGGAGCCAAGCAACGAAACACAGTTCAACCGGCTCGTCCTTCACGCCCAACCGCGGCCACGAGTTGCCCCCTCCCCCCTCAAGAGCAGCTCTCCAGCACGGCCAAGGCTCCAGAGGCACAAGGACTTAATTCAGAGCCCGGCAGCTTGCAGCAGAAATGTGAATGGACTACGCGTTAAACTACAGTGCCATGCACCCCTGGGAGGGAAAGGGCATCTGTCTCTTCTGCCTCCCCCCACCCCGCCCTGGGGGCAGCAAGGTGGCCGCCACCTCAGAGCTTCTTGGAAAGCCAGGAATGAGCTGGCGGTGACGGGGCAACTGCAGCCTCATGGGAAGGAGGGTGAAACCGACTCGTCCTTCATGCCCGACTGAGGCCACGAGTTGCCCCCATGAGCGATTCTCCAGGACGACCATGGCACCAGACGCAAAGAAACCAATCTTGTAACTGTCTGTCTCTTGGCAGAAATCCCTCCAGACTTTAGTAAAATATCAGAAATCCAAAATCGTTCGACATCATATGGTTTTCATAACCAGCAATAGAAAACAAATTATTTCACAATGCCTTGCCAGCAGTTCTGATTGTTGGGGGGAATTTCCAAACAATAATGGTGCATTATTTGTCAAAATAATGAATGTAATCAAAGTAGAGAGAGTTAAGTAGAAATCAAATCATCAGCCTCACAGGCACCGGGAGGGGTGGGAGGGGGGTATATTGGGGTTCTTGGTGGGAAGGGAGGAGTGTTCGATCATTGTATGACCGAGACTTAACTTGAAAGCTTTGTAACTTTTCTCACGGGGATTCAATAAATGTAAAAAAAAAAGTTCAATTGAGACAGAGCCACACACTTGTACGAAGAATCGTGCATTGTCTTATGCTGTATTTGAGAAAGACAGCATGAGCTGGGAGACAGAGGAAAACGCAGTGAAAATATCGAACAAGTTGGAGCCCGGCACAATTTCCACAAAAGTTGTGAGCCTGTGACTAACTCCACTCCAAAGTCCATTAGACAAAAAATAAAATCCGAGTAGAAAATACACTTCCTGAGGTCAAGTGTGAGCACATTTCACCTCTCTAAACCTGAAAGCTCTGGGCAGCACAATACCCAACTCTGCATAATTCTAATTCTTTCTTTTTATTGCTTTGTTCTTGGGCCACACCTGGTGATGCTCGGGGGTCATTCCTGGCTGTGCATTCAGGAATCACTCCTGGCAGTGCCCTGGAGACCAAATGGGATGCCGGGGATTGAACCAGGTCAGCCGACTGCAAAGCAAGTGCTTCACCCGCTGTACAGTATCTCCCGTCCTCAATTCTTCCTTAAAAACACACTGAGGGGAGGAAGAGCCTGTAGCCAAGAGACCCTTGTGAAACACACTGCGGCCCATTAACAACCTGGTGGCTGAGAGCCGCCAAGAGGACCCCTGAACTTCCCGAGCACCACTTGGGAGCCCCTGCGCACCCCCATCACCAAGACAAAAAAACCCTTGGTAGATCCAAGAGCCAGCTGGCCGGGGAGATGGCACACTGGCTTTGCAGGCAGAAGGCCCAGGTGCCATCCCCAGTACCACATGGTCCTCCCCGAGCACTGCTAGCATCAGGCTTAGAGTTGCACTAGCACCAATGGGTGTGGGCCTCACACAAAACGCCCTTCAGGTTGCCTTAAGGTCAGCGCACTGAGTCCAGTTTCACACACCCAGAGGAAGGGACAATCAGGATTTTGAGGGGGCCCTGAGGAGAAGGCAGGCCAGCAGTGCTTCATCATTCTCCTGAAGACACACCATGGCCACCCGACCACAGTGGGCCACGACCCCTCGCCATCTCCCGGGAAAGCACAGGCGCGCAGGCTGCCAACTTGGGCTGCTTCTCCGGGCCCCGATCCTGTGACCACTGTTGAGGAAACTAACTCATGGAAGCTACTCGCTCAGGAAAAGAAGAATAAGGCCACAGAGAAGTTTCTGGAACATGGCTTCTACACCTCAAGTATCACAGAGCCAAATAGACAAAAAACAACACTCACGGCGCTTAATTCTTCTTCCAGGTTTTCATAAAGTGAATGATTCATGTAAAAGATTAATCCCTGCTCATACTTCTGCGATCTACTGTCCACGGCCCAGTCCACGCGAGCCAGAACTTCAGCCATGGACAAGCCGGACATCTTGTAGTAGGGCAGGGCGAGGTGGGAGTGCTGTGAGTCCAGCCTAAGGGAAGGGAAGAAAGTCCCTCAGATGTGCTGTTGAACACCTGGGTGTCTGACACCGTTGGGAACAAAACAGACCGGGGCCCTGGAGCCACAAACCTCAGAAGACATAAATCTCAAAATATTTTCCATTCCCATTTAAAATCAGCAAGGGCTGGAGTCATTTTGATTTTGTATTTTTATTTCAGAGGTATTCTGAAGTCTAAGAAAAATTCCGTTTTCTTTACTCATAATAAAACAAAAAATGATTCAGTAAATGTTACTATTTGAAATGCAGTTCTAAATTAATGGGAGTGCAGAGTAGCAAATTTCTAATTCTATTAATTTATCATTTTCCTAAGGGCCAAGTAAGGCTTTGAAACAATCCTATGTATAAATATTCCCGAAAGTAAAAGTCACTATATAAAACTGAACACACACACACACACACACACACACACACACACACACACACACACACACCCCGACACACCAATGCACACATAAGAACAGAGAGTCAAACTACAGAATCATGAAAACACATCAATGGTTTTACATTGATGTCAACAAGTGGCAATACTGCACAAGATATCTGCGGTACTGGGATCTCCATACTACTCTTAACACTGCATCTGAGTTTGAGTATGTCAGCGTAGACCTAAGACACCACTTATGGTAGAACGCATGGGTGACGCCTGGACCCGCTCAGTATACCTCCCCCAAAATTAATGACTAGAAAATGCACTTGCTATATTCTAAATACACCCTCTAAAACAAAAATACCACATGAAAATAGCATGTCCTCCTGCTGTCCACCAATTTGCTCGAGCGGGCCCAGTAACGTCTCCATTGTGAGACTTGTTACTGTGTTTGGCATATCGAACATGTCACGGGGAGCTTGCCAGGCTCTGCCGTGGGGGCGAGAAACTCTCGGTAGCTTGCCGGGCTCTCTGAGAGGGGCAGAAGAATCAAATCCCGGTCGAACGGGTCTGCCGCGTCAAGGCAAATGCCCTACCCGCTGGGCTACCACGATGCATCCTTATGCCTTTTTTTAATCTCATAAAAACATCAACTAAAATTAGAGATTGTCCAACTGCTATCGCTGAAGGAACAGACCAGTAACATGGCTGTCCCAGGATCAGGGGGCTTCAGTGGATCAGGGGCCACGCCCAACAGTGCTCAGGCGTGACCCCTGGAAGTGTCCGCGTGACCTTATGAGGTGTGGGAGATTGAAAGCAAGGCCACAGTCACCACAGCTACACGTCATGCTTCACCTCGTGTGCTCTCTCTCAGCCCCATCCTGGGGATCTATGAACCGACATTTCAGAGAGTAAATGACGAAGTGGAGACGCAAGAACTTGAGACACTCTCCTCTCGGACCCACTCCCTGACAGCAGGCACCGGGTCAGGCTCCCCTTCGGTGTCTGCAGGCTCACAGTGCTCTCATCACTGGTGAAACGCGTGAATCCATGAAGGTCCACCTTCAGGGTCCCCACCCCCCATCGAGGCGGTCACTGGGAGTGCTACTCCTTCTGTCCACCAGAACCCAGGCTGCCTCTCCCCCGCTGAGAAGCCTGCCCACCTGCTGTAGCAGTCCCCCAGGTGCCCACAGCTTTCCTTGAACGCTTCCAGAAGCTCCTCCTTCTCTCCAGGTTCCAGCTGGCCGGCGTCCATCAGGGCGGCTCTCAGCAGCAGATGCGCCTCGCTGAGCAGGTGGATGCAGCTCTGCGTCCCGGCGCTCCTGTAGGTGTTACTGTACTCGATCTGCAACCGAGAAGCCAACAGCCAGTGCTGCTGCCACAAACCCTGCCCCAACGCCCTGCTGTTCAGAGGGCTCTTCAGGGCGGGGCCTGAGAGGAGAATGGAGAGACGGGACAGCAGGTGAGGCGTTTGTCTCGCAAGGCAAAACTCAGGCACCACCTTTGGCCCCCTGAGCCACGCCACGAGGGATTCCTGAGCACAGGTCAGGAGTAAGCCCTGAGTACTGCCGGCTGTGGCCCAAATGCCAAAACAAACAGTCCCACGCGAGTTTGCAGGTCAAGTTAACAGCTGACACACTAAATGCTTAATGATGAATCTGAAAGGGGTGAATTTTCACTCTGGTGGGATCTAACTCACGAGTGACTAGGTACCCCAAAATGTATGAGTTAGTCCACTCTATACAGGTATTAAACAGCATTATAGAAAGTAGGAATGTATGGGTCAAAGAGATAGTACAGGGGCTGGAGCGATAGCACAGCGGGTGGGGCGTTTGCCTTGCACGCAGCCAACATGGCCGACACAGGTTCGATTCCCAGCATCCCATATGGTCCCCCGAGCAACGCCAGGAGTGATTCCTGAGTGCATGAGCCAGGAGTAACCCCTGATCATCGCTGGGCGTGACACAAAAAGCTAAAAAAAAAAAAAAAGAGATAGTACAGGGGTTAAAGGTGCTTGCCCTGCATGTGCCTCACCCTGATTTAATCAATCCCTGACACCCTATGGTCCCCTCAGCCCCACAAGGAGTGATCCCTGAGCACAGAGCCAGGAACAGCCACTGAGCATCAGCAGGTGTGACTCAAATGACCCCGCTCCCCAAGAGTTCATGGGAAGGAAGAGAGGGAGGGAGGGAGGGAGGGAGGGAGGGAGGGAGGGAGGAAGGGAGGAGGGAGGGAGGGAGGGAGGGAGGGAGGGAGGGAGAGAGGGAGGGAGGGAAGAAGGAAGGAAGGAAGGTTAAAAGGAAGGAAGGAAGGAAGGAAGGAAGGAAGGAAGGAAGGAAGGAAGAAAGGAAGAAGGAAGGTTGGAAGAAGGAAGGAAGGAAGGAAGGAAGGAAGGAAGGAAGGAAGGAAGGAAGGAGGGAGTGAGGGAGGGAGGGAGGGAGGGAGGGAAGGAAGGAAGGAAGGAAGGAAGGAAGGAAGGAAGGAAAGAGGAGGGAAGGAAGGAAGGAGGAGGGAAGGAAGGTTGGAAGAAGGAGGGAAGGAGGGAAGGAAGGAAGGTTGGAAGAAGGAAGGAAGGAAGGAAGGAAGGGAGGGAGGGAGGGAGGGAGGGAGGGAGGGAGGGAGGAAGGAAGGAAGGAAGGAAGGAAGGAAGAGGGAAGGAAGCTTGGAGGAAGGAAGGAAGGAAGGAAGGAAGGAAGGAAGGAAGGAAGGAAGGAAGAGGGAAGGAAGGTTGGAGGAAGGAAGGAAGGAAGGAAGGAAGGAAGGAAGGAAGGAAGGAAGGAAGCAGGTCCGGAAGGAAGTACCATTTCTCTGTAGAGCTGCACGGGCGAGATGGTATCCACGATGTAGAGATTCCAGCCAGCCTCAGTCGCAGGAGGGACTTTGAGCTTTAGATGGGCATCTTTTCTAGAACTAAAAGGAAAATGAAGTGTAAGAACGAATCAGACGTTTCATCACAGGCAGTGAGACTCTTCCATGGGGACGATCAGCTGCCCCCAACGACGTGGCTCAGGCTCCATGCCCAGCTCTCTCGGGAGCTGACGGGCACAGCAGGTGTCACTGAGCCCCGGTGACCCTGACACTAACCGTCAGCCCGGACAGTCCCTCACGAGAATGAGGCCTTCCCTCATTGCGTCCCTGTGCCCAGCTCTCCTGCAGGTGGTCTTCCTGGGCCACCAGTTTGACTACAACCTCCCAAGAGACAAAGCCGAGCCTCGGGGCTGCCGGGAGACTAGCAAGTGCTCAGAGCACTCATGATGTCCCTTCTCGCAGTAATGGTGCCCTCGAAAAGTTGAGATTCTACAGCAAGTAAAATCACAAAGAACTCAGAATGGGGGGGTGGGGGGAGGGCATACCCCAGTGCTCCGGGGGGGTCAGGGATCCCTTATTGGACTGGATGGTTCGGTGACTGGTCCAAGGATGTGGAGCAGCCCAGCAACAAGGACGCTGGGGACCCGGGCCGTTGGCAGTGTTGGCTGGGGCTTCCTTCAGTGGCGGGGACTAACGCACGTCCCAGGACGCACTCAGCTCTCTCTGGTCCTAGAGTCCTAAAGCTCATTCTGGAGCACAATATCCTTCAAAGCCGTCCTTACACAAGCTCACGGCTGGCGGCTGGCTCCAGGGACTGGGCCCGAGGCCGCCCTGAGTGGCCCGTCCCAGGCACGGAGCTGGAGGTGGTCAAGTACAAGCACAGGGAATTCCAGAACAGCAAAGGCTCACTGGAAAACAGGCACAGGAGCTGGCCCTGCAACCCCCCGTTTTCCTCCCCCCAGAGCAGCTTCCTGTCCTGACGGAGTTTCCCACAGACAAACACGATGACTCTCGGCCCTGAGTGGACAGTCAGCAGGGGCGCTCAGGAACGCAGCGTTCTACTCTCACCCGGCGAAAGCAGCAAGCCCAGGATCACAGTGGATTCACGTTATCAATGTGGGGGAGATGTCCACAGTGGTGCTCGGGAGGCCTGGGAGCCCCCCAGCTAGGCCAGTGGTTCAAGGCATCTAGGGCCCCGCCTGGCTGGGGATCATCTGGGCCACACTGAGTGACGCTGGGTGGGGGGAGAGGGGAGACGGGCCCAGAAACCTAACCCGGAAACAAACCTCCACGCAAGGCAATCTCCCAGCCCCTGCAATTTCATTTTAGAGCAATAAACGCACACGTGTCCATCAGGAATGGGCCCCAAGGCAAGACAGTCAGGAGTTGAGGAAAACTCTTGCTTAGCATGTGGCCAGCCCCAGGGGCAGGCCCTGGTCTAATTCATGGTCCCTCAAGGCCAAGCCCGGAGTAAACCCTGAGCACCACAGGGTGTGGCCCAAAACTCAGGCCCCAGAGGAAGGTGAGAAATTCATCACTGACACACTTGAAGCTCCCGTGACCCCCGTGTCACAGCAAACAGAAGTCACTGTGCTCCATTTCTTAAACCACGCAGCACTGTTAATTATCTCACTAAAATGGGGGGAAAAAAAGGAACACATGAAAACGTAAAACCTTAAGAAAATTAACAAAATGGTCCCAACATGGTAAAAAAACAGTATTTTTCTTTTTTTTGGTTTTGTTTCTGGGCCACACCCAATTGCGCGCAGGGCTTACTCCAGGATCTGTGCTCAGGAATTAGCCCTGGTGGTCTTGGGGGAACAGACCAAATGGGCTGCTAGGGACTGAACCCAGGTCCGCAAGAGCCTTACCTGCTCTACTCTCTCTGCCTTCTGAAAGAAAACAATCTTTGGTGGAAAACACTGAAAGGGGAAAAGGTTGAAGACGACAAAAACCAAGTCTTGTCTGGACTGGGCCACCTTTCTGCAGGGGGGTTGGGGGCGCACATCTAGCTGTGCTCAGGGCTTATGCCTGGCTCTCGCCCAGGGATCACTCCTGGAGGGGCTCAGGAGACCCTACGGGATGCCAGGGAGTGAACCCAGGTCAGCCACAATGCATGGCTTACGACCAACGTCCTTCCCACTGTTCTCTCCCTGAGACCCGGTCTTTCCACTCACTGCACAGACTGTGGTCCCCAACCTTCTCACCTCAAACACCATGGACTTTTATGGCAACTATTCGATCCTTTCCATAGTATGGAAACAATTCATTTTCTTCCGAAAGTTTCTAGGTCAATTACAAAGGCTGTTATAGAAGCTTTATCCCCCACTTTGGAAAAAAAAAAAAGAACACCTGAGAACAACATCTGGCCTTTCCGAATATGGACTTGAAGGGGGGTCGGCTCGGAGCACCCCACAGGACATACGAGTGACGGTGGCTTACCGCGCCCTCCTGGGAGTCTCTCTTCTCTCCGGGCTGGCCTCGGGGTCCGCCTTGGTGAGAAGGACGAGGTGGTTCCGGAAGTGGCAGAGGGCCCTCAAGCCAATGAACAGCTGGATCCTCAAGGCGCAGACGTCCATGCTGACCGGGGGGCACGCCTGGCCAGGAAGGGACACGCATTTGAACACAGACCGAGGCGAGACAACTTTAGTCTTCAAGCACCTAGCAGAGCACTTTACCCCGCTTCCTGCACAGGCCTGGGAACACCCCATCGACGCTCCCCGTCTTCTCAGGGGAGGTTGTCACAGCTAAGGTGGACAGTGCCGGGCTGAGGGCCCGCGGCACCAGGGGCTGGGCCGGTAACAGCAGCATCGTCGTCGCTTCTGGGGGTCTGGTGGAGCGCAGGGAACCAGGAGACATGGCACCTCCCATCCCATCAGCTTCTGTCCTAACGAACGTCCCTCTGCCAGGCCTGTTTCCAAGGAGACATAGCATATTGCCCCGGCATGTGTGCCGTGCCTTTCTGCGGACAGACACTCAAGGTCTGAGGGCACAGAATTTCATCGTCAGATGGCCTGCACTTACTCTGCAGCCAAGAACTTTGCTGCGACTCAGCATACTGCTCCGTGCTCGGAAATGAGGTCATTGATCTGACAAATCTATTAGCTCCTACATTATTAAACAGAGACAGTGGGAGGCTCATTATGGGAAACCTAAGAACTGTCAGCCCGCCTATGGCCCATGTCGATGAATCACCTGAAGGTGCTTTTTCAGTTCTGGGCTCCTGCAGGAATTCCCGCTCTCACTGCTGCTGAGCAAACGTGCAGCTCTGAGCTGTGAGGTGCTCTCTGTCGTAGTCACTCTACATATACTCGCTGGCAAACTTTACAGCGATGCCCTCAGCTGAGTCTAAGTGAGATGTTTTCACAATGATCTTACAAACCCCCATCTGAGTCTGAAGCTCAATGGCTGAGTTCATGCTCTGCGTGCGAAGGCCAGATTCAGTCCTTGGTACCCCCAAGGTCCCCGGACCACCCTCTGGAGCAACGCCTGGAGCACAGAGCTCGGAGTAGCCCCCAAGCACTGCAGGATGTGCCTCCCCCACCAAAAAAAATAATAATAATAATATTAAAATGAAGAAAATAGAGAAAAAAAAACAACACAAATTCTGGGGCCAGAGACAAAGCTCAGAGCTAAGGCACGCGTCATGCGCACAGCCAACCCTGGCTTGATCCCTGGTACCACGATGTCCCCTGGAGCCCCCCAACCCCACCCATGCCCTGGATGACCTCAGCAGCACAGCCTTGAACCCCCACACTGAGCCACTGGCCCTGCTGGCTGAGCCTCTCTGGGAGGGGACCCCAGGTCCCAGGTCTCACATGGGAGAAAGAACCCAAACCTTCTCCCCCGAACCAAGTCACAGTCACGGTCCTCCCGTTGTTCATCGATTTGCTTGAGCAGGCCCAGTAATGTCTCCATTGGAGACTTTGTTGTTACTGTGTCTGGCATATCGAATACGTCACGGGGAGCTTGCCAGGCTTTGCCGTGCGGGCGAGATACTCTCGGTAGCTGGCCGGGCTCTCCGAGAGGGGCGGAGGAATCGAACTCGGGTCGGCCATGTTGGCTGTGTGCAAGGCAAACGCCCTGCCGCTGTGCTTACCACATTATAGCAGACAGCTCTAATTCAGTGGACAAGGCCTTAAGCCCGCACGTGTTGGGCTGGAGCGATGGGACGGGGCTTGAGGCTCTTGCACTGCACAGTCAGACCCCGGTTCCATCCCCGGCACCACAGATGGGCCCCCAGGACTGCCAGGGAATCGCTTCTATTTTATTTTTTGGGGGGGGAGGAGGGGGTCACAGTTGGCGATACTCAGGAGTAACTCCTGGCTCTGCGCTCTGGAATTACTCCTCGCGGTGCTGGGATGCTGGGGATCGACCCCACTTGGCATTCTCTCCACCTGCAGGGTGGGGTGGAGGTCTCCCTTCTGAGCACAGAACCAGGTGTGGTCCCTGAACACCACAGGGTTTACCGTCTCCTCCCCCAAGCAGCATGGAGCCAACACCCCGTGGCACCGGCCAGCATCCGGCCGAGCACCGGCCAGCATCCGGCCGAGCGCAGTGTCCCAGCTGACCTGCAGGGTGCTGTCCCCATAAGGGTCCTCCTCGACCGCCGCCGCCGCGCCACACCGCACCGTGAAGCACTGCAGGTTGTTACTAGGAGAAAGGGGAGAGCGGGACCCCGTCAGCGTCTGTCCGACCTACCGCTCTCGTTCCGAGACGCCTGCAGTCTACAAACAGACTTGACCCCTCCACCGGATGCTCCCGGAGCCCCATCCAAAGCCGATGGTGAACTCAGCTTCTCTTGGGGCGCACAGCATCCTGGCCCAACCGTCCCCTCCAGCCCCACGGTCCACGGTAACAAGACGGTCACCCGCCTCGACTCCCCTTGATGACCGCCAGCAACTCTCCTGCCGCCACACTTTCATTCCGTCACTCTCTCTGGGCTGACCCTTTCAACCTTCTGGGGCCGGAGTAGGGGTACAGTGAGCAGGGCGTTACTCTGCATGCAGCCAAACCGGGCAGAACGGACTTTTGGTTTCGAGCGAGGCCTGGGCGCTCAGAGGATTGGGGCAGAATCGGGGAGAGATGCAGGGCGGTCCAGAGGCAGCCTCGCGGTCCGCTTTGCAGTTGCCCGAGTCGGTGGTTCCCAGGGCCAATTCCTTTTGCCAAGTCGTGAGGCAACTGGCACACGTCTCCCAGGCCCACACCCCTCGCTGGCACCTCTGCCCCCTCGCCAGTGCCCTGGGAATCAGGGTGCGCCCCGGACTCATGGCTGCGTGGCTGGACCTCACACAGATCGCACAGGAAAGAAAAACCAAGCCAGCTGAGGGGAAGGAAATGAGCTCAGGGCCTGCACCAGCAGGCGTCTGTCACCCAAGAACCCACAGCCCAAGTCTGTGGCGACAACTTCCCCATTTGCTTCGGCACAGGGCAGAACCCGCCCTCCCAGACGCCCTCCCGGCGCTGGGCCTTCCTGCGGTGACACGCCTCGGACTGGAAGGAGACCACAGCTGCGGGTGAGGACAACATGCAGAGTCCACGACGAAGTTCTGAGCGAAGCCCACACCAGCTCCACCGAGCTCTGCGCAGAATCCTCCAGAAGCCCCTCCCCTCACCGAGAACACTGCGCTTCCTCACGGAGTGTGGGGACGCCCTTGGCTAGGGCAGGGCAAGTTCTGGGCCTCCGAAAGACAAGCTGTCCAGGTCACGTCCCAGTGCCGGTGCCCAGCGGGCACAACCCCCCCAAGTCAAAGAGTTCAAAGGGGGCGGAGCGATACCACAGCGGGTAGCGCACGCGGCTGACCTGGGTTCGATCCCCGGCATCCCATAGGGCCTCCCCAGCGCTCCCCCGCACTCCTGAGCCAGGAGCAACCCCTGAGCATCACTGGGCGTGACCCAAAAACAGCAAAAAATAGAGTCAGTGAATAAATAACGAAGAGTTCAAAGGCGCCACGAGAGCCGACAGGCGGCCGAAGGACAACCGAAGGATGCCAAGGCCAGGGCGTGGCATGGCGACCCACCTGGTGATGACGTGCAGGAACTGCGGCGTGAGCACGGCCTGCCGCGCCCTCTCGGGGTACTGATACACCGACAGCAGCTCCACCGACCTGACGAGCATGTAGAGGTAGCCCAGGTGGGGCAGGGAGAAGAAGCAGAAGAGGCTGAGCAGCTCTCGGTCCTGAGGCGGGTGCGTCCCGTCGGGAGGAGGAGAGGCCGCAGCTGGGAAGCAAGCACACGGTCAGACCAGCCCTGGGAGCCGGCAGAGACCGGCAGCCTCGGCTTGGCGTGAGCACCCGGTCGGTGCTGAGCAGAGGGCTGTCTGGGGGAGCGGCTCTTTGTGGGTTCATCTGGCGCCGACGTGGCGCTCGAGGTGGACCCTGGGGTCTCACGCACAAGCCCAGCGCTCTGCCACCAAGCCGCAAGCCCCGGGTGCCGGGAACTTTTGACACCCGTGAAACGGGAGACTCAGGGGCTGCCAGGCCCAGCCCCAAGCGAACAGGCCCGAAGCAGGGACGCCACGAGGATTTAGGGACAGAAATGAGAGGATCAACATGGGCTCGGGGAGCTCACAGCGTCCCAAACACTGTCTGTCACCCATGTATGATGTCCATTGCCTAGAACCAGGACTCCTTGGCAGAACATTCTTTGGGCACGTGACTTCATGTCTCAGGGGCTAGAAAGAATTTTCACACGCCCAAGGACCTTGGTTTCTCAGGGTCCACCCATGGCGCCGGGGGGGGGGGGCGGGGTGGCGGGGAGGAGAAGCAGGGAGGCCCCAGCTCGTGGCCTGACCGTCCAGGGAGGGTGCAGCTTGGGTGGAACAGCCATAGAAAGGCGTGTCGGACACTGCCCTGCTCTGGGGGACAGAGAAGGCCTCCTGGGGAGGGACAGGACCTGGAGCGGGTGGGCTGGCTTGGAAGGGAGCCCCGGGGAGCCCCTGAGAGGAGAAGTAGGTCTGGGGAACGGCGGAGACAGAAACGGGTGAGACATAACAGCCGTGCCGGCAGAATAGCACTGCAGACCTCTCTGGGACACAGTTAAGGAGGCGGGGGGCCCAGGGCCACGTCTGGGAGCCCGGGGTGTCTCTCAGGCGGGGCTGCCCACTGGGGTCCTGAGGAGGAGCTGTTTTGAATGACTGACACCAGGCCGCCAGACCAATGTGCAGTGTCCAAAAGCCACCGTGCCTGTCAATGCCCATTCGGCCGACAACCCCCGTGCCCACCCACCCTACCCGCAGGACCTCCTAAGAAGCTCTGCTGAACCTCAGTGACAACGACAGACCCTCAGATACAATGAGGCTCTGACAGGGGCAGGTGCTGAGGGGAAGCCTTAAACCGTTTTCTGGAAGAATTTCCAAAGTGGGTTTTGTCTGCAGCCTCTCTACGGCTTGTCCCGGCAGACATAACTTCCTTTTCGAGTGCTCCCGGGCAATTGTAAGAAATTCGTGGAGGCCCCGGGAGCCCCCCATGGAAGAACCTGAACGGGGGAGGCACTCTGGTCTGCCCGACCCAGGCCGAGCTCCCGACACGGAGTCACTCACCAGGGCGGTACAGGGGGAGCAGCTGGAGGGAATGTAGCCTGATGTCATCGAGCAGCTCAAAGGACGAGATATCGGGAGCGAAACGCCTGTGTGTGCGGAAGGGTGGGGGAGAGAGCTCATTCCCACGGACTCAAGCAGGCAAACACGCAGGACACGGGCAGGGGCAGAAAGCTTTCGCCAACAGGGAAGCGTGCTCCGGGACCAAGCTACTTCACTGTCTGTTTGTGTGTTTTGTTTTCCTATCGCACTGTAGCACTGTCCTCCCACTGTTCATCGATTTGCTCGAGCGGGCCCAGGAACATCTCCCTTGTGAGACTTGCCGTTACTGTGTTTGGCCTATCGAGTAGGCCACGGGGAGCTTGCCAGGCTTTGCCGTGCGGGCGAGATACTCTCGGTAGCTTGCCAGGCTCTCTCTCCAAGAGGGGCAGAGGAATTGAACCCGGGTCGGCCACGTGCAAGGCAAACGCCCTACCGCTGTGCTGTCGCTCCAGCCCCCTTTTAAAAAGAGAGTGTGAGGAATTAAAAAGGCAATCAAGAGAAGAGCTGAAACTGACAGTAAGAAGAACTGCAATTCTGTACCTCAGAGAGTGAACTGTTTAAACTTTGCCTGTCCAAGCTATACATTCCCTGGCATGATGAGACAGTCAACAGCACAGCACTGGCTGCATCTTCCCCGTGTGTTCGAAAGGAAGAACACGAAGGGCACACACACAAGGTTTGTCTTCCTAGATCAAAGAAATTTCTGGAGGAAGCCGGAGAGGAATGAGCCACTGCAAGGCAGTGTTGAGAGCAGGATGAGGGTTTTAGGAAACACTCTGCAAAGCAGCAGCCAGGTGACGGCTGGGAAGGCTGGAGCGAGGCTTTGCACGCCGGAACTGCAGGTGCTTTTCCTGCACCACGGGGTCTGCCAAGCACCACCAGAGTGAACCCCAACCCCAAGCACTGAGCTGGAAGTAGCTCCGAGCACCGCCCGGTGTGACCCAAAAACCCAAACCACCAATATTCCAGATTAAGAAAAAAACCCCAGAATGGTGGAAAGAGATTCTAGTACCTATAGAGCAGATGCTGAACACGAAAGCCTTTGATTTTCTCCTCAGCAAGTCCGGTGGACTCCAGGGTAACACTCAGGCCACACTGTTCACTTTTTTCTCCAAGAAGTTCTAAAGGCTTTTGGCAGAAAACAAAATCATCTGATTCAAGCTGCAGACTTTCATCCCTAGGGCCTGGTCCAAAAACAAAACCAAAACAAACGATTCAGTTCAAGTGCTGCCTGAACAGAAACGAAGCAGTTACTTTCCCACGCTTCCCCCGCCCCACACACACATCTCTAAGACCCCGTGGTTTTGAAGACTTGGCACTTTCTCATCCATGATCCACTACAACTAGGAAACGGAAATTCGGAGGTGAAGGTCCTGACCCACAGCTGGGAGCTGGTCTCTAAGAACTGGTAGGAGACTGCTTCTCCAGCTGAGGGCCGCGGTGGACTGACATGCAGAGGGACCCAACGTCGATAAGGAGTAAGAACTGAGCAATAACACAGTCAAAACCCACTAATATTCTACATTCTTACACACGCGCGCACTAATGTATCGTACATTTTATTACTTCTACTACGTTTTGTGTGTGTGTGCTCAAGCAATAACATATACAGCCAAACCCACTAATGCTCTACATTCATACACACACGCGCGCACATATGTTTTTTACATCTTATTACTTTTACTACTTTGCGTGTGCATGTGCGTGCGTGTCTGCGTGTGCATGTGTGTGTGTATGGCTACACATGGCAATGCTCAGGGCTGACACCTGGCAGTGCTCGGGGTCCATGCAGGATGCCGGGGATCGACCACGGGGTTGGCAAGTGCCCTTCCCGCTGTCCTCTGGCTTCTGTCCTGCGGAGCCCTCGGGGAGTTTTCTCTAGCCTGACGAAAGGTGAGAACGCAGAGCTACTGACTTACCTCTAGGCCGTTCCCCTGCACCGCTGGCCTTAGGTGCGTGGGGCGGATGACGATCGGCGTGTTTCGCGCCCGACTCCAGCTTCAGGATGAGGACCTCCAAGTCCGACATGACTGCGATATATCCCAGGCAGAAAGAAATCTCGATGGGGGTGACGCTGTGTATGTGCACGATCAGAGCCCGCTCGAAGTCCACCACCGAGAACTCGTCACCGATGCTCTGGTACTTGAGAGTGAACAGGACCAGCTTGTTGGCACAGCCAACCAGGAGGTCTCCCTTCACGGGGCAGCAGGAGAGGCACAGCGGGGCCTCGGCCAGCGGCATCTCCACAATGGACATCTGGTCCCTGCAGCTCCCGGCGGGGGGCGTCTCCACGCGATGGCCCTGCATGCGGATGCACACGCGCGCCTCCTCCATCCGCTTGCTCCTCCAGTTCACGTAGGCACGGAGCGACGTGGCTTGGTTCTTCTCTTCAATTGCCACCAAATAGTCTCCTGAGCAGGAAACAAGATTGTGCTGGTGGAGTCACAAACAACAGCCTACTTGGTGCCAGGGAAAGAAACGAAGTTTCGTGCATGTGCCCGAGTCAGGCCAAAGCAGAGGCCCCGGACAATCATGGCAACGGGCTGGAGGGCGGGCCGGTAACCGGATCATAAGCTCCCTTCATTCCCGGGTCTGAAGACGAGCCATCCATTATGTATGCTGCTTACCCAGAAATTTCACATTTTAATACTTCTACGAGCTCTTAAGTACTGACAGAAACACTGAATCTCAAGTTCCAACAAAACTCTCCCAAGAGTTTGGGTGACATTAAAATTTGGTACAAGTTACAGAACTCTGGGAAGGAGGGCAGATCTTACACCAGAACCCACCTCTGTCCGTAAAGGTCTTCTCTTCAGGACCCGAGAGATCCTACAGGGATTATAGCCCTTGCTTCGCATCCTGCCAACCCTGAATCGATCCCTGGAGCACCACCAACAGTTACTCCTGATCAGAGAGTCAGGAACAGACCCAGAGCACCCTTGGGAGCGGGTCCAAAAGTCCCAGCAATTCACATCCTCATGAGAAACAAGATAAAGCTGGACACAGGAAATACAATTTAAATCTAAGTGTACTCCCTCTTAGTTACACGGGTCTTTTTGAAATCACAAAAGCAGGGGCCGGAGCGATGGCACCACAGGTAGGGGACTTGCCTTGCACACAGCTGGCATGGGCTCAATCCCTGGCACCCCATAGGGTGCCCCTGAGCCCTGTTAAAAGTGACCCCTGCGCACAGGGCCAGAAGTAAGCCCTGAGCACCCCAAGGGTGGCCCCCAAAGTAAAACACTAAAATGAAAATTACAAAAGCAGGGTTAGAGAGATCGTTAAGGCACTTGTGTTGCATGTGGCCGGCCCCAGTTTAACCTCCAGGACCATGCAGAGTCCCCAAAGCACTGCCGAAGTTATCTCTGAGCACAGACCCAGGCACAGCGCCTGAGTACCACTGAGTACGGCCCTCAAGACCCCTCTCCCCAAATAGTAATAAAAAGTTACCACAACGATCTTCTAACCACCTTGTGCTGGAAGAAGCCAATGTGGTAAAAGGATGCAAAACGCAGAACATGACCTGTAGTCCCAAGGGTGGCAGAGCCAGCCTGCACCACGGACCCTGACCCCCGCCACACACCCTCGTCCCACTTCCTTGCACGTAAACTGCCACGAGAGGTGGTCGATCTTCTTGATACCCCACGGTTTGATTTACCATCGGTATCTAAGATGCCGGACACATGAGTCTCTGCCCTGCTCATCCTCCACAGTCAGAGCTCCTGGACCACCACCACACTGTCACCAAGGCCCCCAACTCGGTCCCTCCACCCTCTCCCCTTTCCTGCTACCATGCTTGTCACTGCATCTAAGAACGATTCTGTATCACAAAGCCGAGGGGCTCTGCACTCAGCACAGGCACCTCAAGTGCCTTCTCTGTGCCACTGGAGCTGACTCGGCATTCCGGAGTGTGTACACAACTTCTTGTCTGTTAGTTGCGCCTGCCTTTTCCTTTGTGCCCTTGGCTTTCGGTACCTCCCTCCTGGCTCACGCTACGCTGCACTTCACCTTCACTGGGCAGGCATCGCCTGTGTAGACGCAGCTCTTTTACCCAGCACTGTGTCTTTTGTTTTCGTTTGTTCCGGGGCCATTCCCGGTGATGCTCAGGGGATACTCCTGGCTCTGCTTTCAGGAATTACTCCTGGGGTGTCCAGGGACCATACTGGGGATCGAACCCAGGCTGGCCGCATGCAGGGCACATGCCCTCCACACTGTAATATGGCTCTGTCCTCACTGTGTGTGTTGATTGGTAATTTCAGGCAATTTGAATCCATGGCGATCACTGATATCTGGGACTTTCCTACCGCCATTCTGTCTTTTATGTGCTGGTTGCTCTGTTTTTTTTTTTTTTTTGCCATGTGTTTTGTTCTGATTTGGGGTGACACCTGGCAGTGCTCAGGGTTCACTCCCGGTTCTGAGCTAAGGATCACTCTTTGGGTGGGTGGGGTACTCTGTGGGGTGCCGGGGATTATAGCTGGGTCAGTAGCCCGCAGCCCCTTTCTCTAAGTCTCTATCTGCCTTTTCCTTTAGAACGTTTTCCCCGGAGGATGTTCAACTGCTCTGATTTCTCTGCTCCAGACTTTTGCTTTGTGGGTCCCATGGGGGCCTGAACCAGTCTTTGATGTGAAATTAATATGTTACATTTGAACTAAATAGTGTCTGTTGTGGGCATCCTTCCCTCCGATATTCTGTTTACTCCTGCTTATGGGGTGGGTCTGGGGGGCTCGGTGGGGAGGGGGCTGCTATTCTACTACTGTGCCCTTGCTGGGCACCTGTCTGGCAGAAGGGCTCTGGGAATCTCGGCAGGGAGCCTCGGGCTCTGAGCTGGGGGTGGGGCAACAGTGAGCAGGGCTGCAGGGGGAAGGGGGAAGCAGCGAGCGGGAAGACAAGCAGGGCAGGCGCTGTGCTGGGGATCAACAGGAGCTGCAGCCAGGGCCGGTGAAGGTCAGCTGGGAGCTCTAGGACCTATGCTCCCGGGGCCACCTGACTCCAGAACTTTCTCTAAGGCAGTGGAGCGGATCATAAACACATCTTTTGTTTCTAAGACCTCACGAAGGAGGTTATCACACTCCTCTCGGCCTCCGGCAGCGGACTCTAGGTCAGCGTTCCCAGTCAGCAGTTTCCGGTCAGCCGCTCCCAGTCCTGGCACCCCAGCGCTGGGCCACACCCTGGGCAACTGACGCCGTCTCTCCAGAAATGGGCGGGGGTTTTTCCTTGATTTTTAAATTGTTATTATTTCTGGTGGGGCATCGCAAGCAGTGCTCAAGAAGCCCAGGGTCGGGGCCAGAGCGATAGTATGGCAGGAAGGGCACTTGCCTTGCATCCGGCCAGCCTGGGTTTGTGCTCCAACTTCCCAAACGGTTGCCCGAGCACTGGCAGGAGTAATCTGAGCATTGTTAGGTGTGGCCCCAAAACAAACAAAACACAAAACAACAACAAAAAGAAGCCTGGGAGAACTCTGGGTGAGACTCTGCTAGCCAGGCAAGACCGCTGGACACTCAGGCCCAGCAATACGGCACTACAGGGGTCCCCAGGGGCCATCCCAGCAGTGTGGTGGTGGGGGGGGGGTGTCTTCAGGGACAGTCCCGGCAGTGCCCAGAGGCCTCCGGGGCTGCACCAGGAAATCTGTGAAAGGGGGTCACGCAGAGTGAGGGACCAAACTCGGAGCATCATGACCCTGAGCCCCGCACTATCTCCTCAGTCCCAGAAATGGGTTTGCTGGAAATTCTCCCAGGGACCGCGGGAATTACCCACCACTGACAGGTAGGAGCCAGAGGTGCATATATCTGCTGTTTCCTGTTCTAGAATGAACATAAAATATCGGGTTGGGCTGGCCGTGTTGCTCCCCCCAAGACACACACACACAGCCGCACACAGGCACACGGGCGAACATGCATACACACTCAAGCCTGAAACTCAGGAGTGTCCAGAGCTCTTGAAAGTAAGAATTCCTGTTCCTAAAAGGTGGAGGTAGCATGGGGGAAACTCTGGGTCTTGTGAAATGAGGAGGAGGAGAGCAGAACAAATACGGAAATGAGAGCCTTGCGCTGTGAGAGGACACACGATCCTCAGAGCGGTCTCCAAACAGGCGCAAGGACGGCCGCAGTGCAGGTCCTATAAGAGTTTCCACTCGTCCAAAAGAAAAAAATATATAGGTCTGGAGAGACAGTATAAAAAAATTATCTTTGTTTGACAGACTGAACAGCTATTATGTATGGTAATCCTTCAGTTTTTTACTGATTCAAAAAATCCCAACGTCTCCAGCCCCTGATCTATCTACTATCTACTCAAAATATATATATAGCAGAAACCCAACCAGCTGCAGACTGAGGAGAAACTAGGCGTGGATGGACAATTCTGCAAACTGAATCTCAACACTTCACTTCCATGAACCTCAGACCTAGGCTCTTTTTCCCACCACAAAATACATAATCTTACATCTTTATGTCCCTCTCAAAAAACAGGAATCAGATGTTTACCTGTATTCTTGGACAGTTAAATGAACCCTTGGTTAAATCCTTCCATAATGAGAAACACCCTTTGACTTTGGTGTCACACCCACTGGTGCGCAAACGCTACTCCTAGTTTGGTGCTCTGGGTTACCAGAGGTAGGTCCTAGAGGGATCAGGAGACTGGAGACTCTGGAGCACCAACTCGGGGGAGAAGCTCCTATTCTTTGGGATGGAGGGGAGGGACCACACCCGGCAACGCTCAGGGCTTCTGGCTCTGTGCTCAAGATGACCCCTGACGTGGGTCCAGGTTCAAGGGTCCACATGTGCTGCCGAGGACTGAACTACGCAAGACGCGGGCAAGGCCAGCGCCTCACGCCCCTCTCCGCGGCCCGATGCAGCATCTTCCCACGGAGTTTCTGAAAGTGCAACACACGCCCGCGCCCTTGGCATTTCCTCGCATTTCTGCTGCAGGAGCAGCGGAGGCGGCCACCGGGCAGCCAGCTCGGGTCTGGGAGTAGCAGAGGCTGGAGCCGAGCTCCGCTCACGCCCACTTCGAAAGCAGCAGGCAACGCTGGCTATCGGGCGTCGGCAGGGCACGGACAGGGCTCCAAGGAGAACCGGACCGGGCGGAGACGGCGAGGCGCGGGCGCCGGGCTCAGGGCCCCTGGCTCTCCGCTGGCGCCGCGACGCCGCCTCTCCGAGTGTCGGGACGTTCTCCGCGAACACGTGCCTTGCTAAGCGCGTCTGGAGGGCGCAGAACCACCCGCCCAACCTCCCGGGCCCGCTGGGCCAGGAGGAGCTGTCGAGGCGCAGGGTGGGCCCGTCCAGCAGCGCTCGCCGCTGACGGCAAGGCTCGGGGCGCGCCCGCGACGTGCGGCGCGACCCAGGCCCCTCCGGCGGGGTCCGGCCCGCTCGGGGGCCCGCGAGGAGGCCCCGCCCGGCTCCGCGCGCCCCGCCCGCCCGACTCACCGCGCTCGCTGTAGACCAGGCGCCGCACCCGGCCCAGCGTGGAGAAGGTGCCCCGCGGCCGGCACCCCTCGGGGCCGGCCACCGCGAACGCCTCCACCTTGCAGCCGGCCGCCACGAACAGCGCGTCGCGGCCCCCGCCGCAGAACCGCTCGGGCTCCAGCTTGCAGGGCACGACCTGCTGCGACCCGAACGGGTGCAGGTTGTACAGGTGCACCATGCCGGCTGCCGGCCCGGCCCGAGCCGCGGCGGCCGCCCCGCCCCGCCCTGCCCGCCCCGCCGGGCGCCGGCCCGAGACCACTTCCGCGAGCGGCCGGGCCGCGTCACGTGAGGCCGGGCGCCCCGTCCCCGGCCCCGCCTCTTAAGGAGCCCGCCGCCCGGAAGCCTGGGACGGGCGGAGCCGGCGCTCCCGCGCGACCCCTCCCGGCCGCGCCCGACCCCGCCCTCCGCGCGCCAGCCTCGCCCCCGCCTCAGCCACGGCCCCGAGCTCCGCCGCAGGGCCCCCAGGCGCAGCCACGCCCCGGATCGGCCACGCCCCCGAGCCCCGCCGCACGGCCCCCAGGCGCAGCCACGCCCCGGATCGGCCACGCCCCCGAGCTCCGCCCCGCCCCGCCCTCGGGCCGAGTCCTCCCACGACCTGATTGGCCGTCGGCCCTTCGGCCCCGCCCCCGGGCTTTAGGCCCGCCCGCGCCGCCCCTTTTCTGCTCCTGCGTTCCGCGTTCCCTCGCCCCGCGCTGGGCCTCTCTGGCCGACGCGCACCCCCGACCAGGTGCGGGGAGCGCCACATCCGTCCCCCACCCGCGCGCCTTCCGGCTTTTTGAGGCGCGTTAACTCGCGGCCTCCGTTCTCCTAACCTTCCGTCCTTGCTGCCTGGGAACTAAACCAAAGGTTAGGAAGCCCTGGAGAGGCCAGGGCTCAGCTCGGGAGCCCCGAGTCCCTCAGAGGTGCTGAGCGTTCTGGAACGGCCTCGTTGGAAGAAACAAGGCCTGCCTTGAATGTGCTTGACTCAGGCGCCTATGTGTTTGCCGAAAGAAAGGATCCATGCGTGCTAGGGCGGGCCAGATGGAGTCTAGAATCTAGTGAGCTAACGAGCTCTAGGCTTGGACGACAGATGAGTGTGGAGCCCAAAAGTCAAAGAACTGGGGTGAAATGCGTCGGCTCTCGGTCCTAAAGCTCCCTAAGGTACTCGGTACTCTCCCTGACGTCTTGCTATGAAATTCACGCTTGCAGATCCCCCCTTCCCCCCTTTCAAAGCAGACTTAGATGCAGCAGGTATTGTGCATCCTCTTTCCCACTCGCTCAGAAAATGATGGGTGTGAAGGCATGAATTGAGGAGCACTATTTTACTTTTTCACAGGCAGGAATGGTCAGGCATCCATCCTGTTAGTTTCCAGTTCAGTCAAGCCCTTCCAAGGTTTTACAAAGTGGGTGCAACCAGATTGCAGGTCCTTTGCCTCCTGCTTCCGATCACCCGGTGAATCATGCACCCCTAAGTGACCGGTGGTTGTCAAGGAGACAAACCCAATGAGTCCTAGGATTGGGGGAGTTGGTGGCTGAGCAGCCTGCAGTTAAAAAAAGAAACAAAAGTCCTCAAAACTCCTGAAATGCAACAATATGATCACTTCAGATGCAACTCTCTTGGACATCCCTTTTTCTCCCCAGTGTCTGCCAGACTGTCCATCTTTTGGTTAATTTTCTCCTTCAAGAATGAAAGGGGCTGGAGAGATAGTCAGCCAGTAGTTTGTTTGCCTCGCATGCACCCACCTGGGTTTGATCTCCAAAACTTCGTCGGGAGTGATCCCCTAAGCACAGAGTCAGGATCCCTGAGCACAGCTGGGTGTGGCCTCCAAAAACAAAATAAATAAATAAAAGTTAATTTCCATGCCAAATTGGAATTTCAAGACTATACTTAATTTTGCCTGGATAAAAAAAAAGGTCTATTGGAGGGAGAAGGTAAGATGAAAGAAGGTAAGATGAAAGGAGAAGGTATGATTAAAGAGAAGGAAAGATTAAAGGAGAAGCTGGAAGACTAAGCTCCCCAGCCCCTTCAGAGATCTGCATCCCCGCCTTCCCACCGGCACGGGGCTCATTTCTGATTCTCCGGAACAGAATGGGAGCCAGTGGAAGGAGGGATTGTAATGTGGCTTCTACATTTGTTTGTTGGTGAATGTGGACTTATTCCTGAGCTTGGGAATTATGTGAAAGATCTGCGTACAAAACTCAGTTACTCAAGAACTTCAAGTCGACCGTGCAGTTGGAGTAGATGGAGCTGAGGTGACTCATGCTGTCCCTCCCTGCCGGTCCCCACCAGTGTACCATGACCTGTGTTGTTCCTACATCATTCTCTACCCACTGTACACCTTCCTAGTTCTGCACCCCTGTCACTCTGTCCCCTCGCTGGGACAGCTGCTCTGTAATGTGCCCCCTGGGCCTCTCCAGGACTGCAGCCCTCAGTCCTGAGACTCCAGCCGTGTCACGCTCTCTGGGCACAGGCGAGGGACCAAGAGTGTTGTTCATGAACAGGCTTCCTTCTCACGCTCTGATTTCAAATGATCAGTTTGAAATCTGATCTATGAGATTTCAAATGATCCGTTGGTAACTAGTGCTCTACCCTTCCACTCCTGCTGCTGCTGTTGTTTATTTGTTTTTCTTTGTTTTTTCTGAGTCTCTTGGCAATGTTCAGCAATTACCCCTGGGGGTGCTCAGGGGATGCTGAGGATTGAACGCAGGTTGGCCAAGGCAAACGCCCTACCCACTGTATTATTGCTCCTACTGAACAAGGGCGACAAGAGGACACTTGGCATAAACACAGTGTTTGCCAAGAAATGGAAGCCACATGCCCGCTCTGGGCTTCTTGTGTGCGTGACCCCGAGGGCCTGCCCCCGGCTGCCTTCCTCCATCTAGCCCCACACCTTCTGCCTCACGATCCTTTTTTTTTTTTTCATGTAGGGGTATTGCTGTTTATTCAGCCACTGATTAGCTGATTGAATTGGGCATGAACTCCACCTTACTTTTTTTTTCATTTTTTATAATTTTATTTATTGCGATAGCACAGCGGGTAGGGCGTCTGCCTTACAAGCGGCCAACATGGCCGACCCGAGTTCGATTCCTCCGCCCCTCTCGGAGAGCCCGGCAAGCTACCGAGAGTATTCGATATGCCAGACACAGTAACAACAAAGTCTCCAATGGAGACGTTACTGGGCCCGCTCGAGCAAATCGACGATCAACGGGAGGGCCTTTACCTTTACCTATTTATTGAACTACAGTGAGAGCAGTTATAAAACTTTTGGGTTTAAGTCTCGGTCATACCATGAAACACCCGTACCTTCACCAGTGCCCATTCTCCACCCCCAACAACCCCAGTATACTCCCATCCCACACCCTCCCCCTACCTGTGGGGCAGATGATTTCCACTTTACTCTTTCTCTACTTTGACCACATTCAATATTTCGACACCAGACCCACCATTATTATTTGGGATTTTACCCCAAAACTCAGATATGCTGAAAAGGCAGCAATAGACAATTTGTGTTCTATTACTGGTTATGAATAACAGATGATGTCGTGTGGCTGCAGTAGGGCCATGTGGTTTTGAAATTCCGAAATTTTAACACTTAAATCTGGAGGGATTTCTCCCAAACCTGCTGAGTTCTGAGATTTGTTCCCGAGTCTCTGGGATCCTGGCCGTTTAGCAGCTTGATAAGGAGCCAGAAAGGCCATTCATGGGCAGTGACTCGGGGTCTTGTAGGGACGGGGAGGAAAGGGCCGGCTCCACCTCCATCCTGTGAGGCCTCACATGTCTCATCACTGAGGGCCCAAACCTGACTGTCCAGTGGCCTCTGGAGGATGGCGGCCACCGGGCTGCCAGGGGGAACAGGCCAAGGCACGAAACCTATTCCCACCTGGGTTGGCCCAGTCGCGCTCCTCAGGAGGGCACCTTTCCACACTCCCAGGCACGCCCTGCTCATCTGAGGCGCTCACCCACCCTTTGTTCTTAATAAAAACTCCGCTCAGTTTCGGGGCAGTGGCTCACTTCAGGACGAGTGTTGCCCCCCAGCTGCTGAAAATGAGTGTGTGCATTGTCTGACTGATCTGTAGCCCCCGTACCATCAGAGTATCTGCATTGATCATGGAGCGTGTGCTGAGACAGGCAGCCACCAAACGTCATCTACCTCTACCCAATAGAATTCTTTATTCCATTTTTTTTTTTAAAGTATCATCATTACTTGTTAGGGCCGGACTAAGGCATCAGGATAAGCCCATGTAGACTGTACAGCACACAGGCAGGAACAAGGACCCCATGAAAATGGGCAAGATTTCTCATTGATGTCGGTGAGCCCCACGGGTGACTTATGTGAAGCAGGGAGGAGAAAGACGGTCACTTTCTCCCCAATCGCCTCTGCCGCCCGGGACCCAGAGTTACTGGGTTCTTGTCTCGCCTCGCAGAAAGGAATTTCAGGAGTAGATAAGCAGTGAAATAAATAGATTTTATTTGGAGGCTTTGGAGAGAGTGAGAGAGTAACGTACTCACGAGAGAACACGGGCTTCTCCAAGGGCAGAGAGAGAGCCCCTACACACATCCTGTTGGGATCGGGAGTTCCCTAGCCCTGGGAGGCGCGGAGAGACCAGATAGACACAATTCCTGCAGGAGTAAAAACGGGGTTTATTTAGACCAGCATGCTGGGGCTCCGCAGCATACCCCCAAAATGGGCAGTGGCTGAGAGCCCCGAACTTCTTCAAAGGGGATCTTATATAGGCCTTCACTGGCCGTTACAGCAAAGCCCGCGCATTTCATAGCCAATAGATTTGTAACAACATATACTTCCTTAACCAATCCATTTAAAAGTACCTCACTCCTTAGCCTATAGATTCAAAAATCAGCATTTACGTACATTGATTGTCAGCACAAGCAAGGTTATAGCCGGAATCATTAAGCCTTAGGTAATCTCCCTTGACCATCCTCGTTTTGAGTTACCCAAGTCTGCAGGGTGCTTTAGTGAGACAATACACTCCAGGAAAGGGCAATTTCCCCCAACCACCCGCATCCTGGGTTATCCTTTACCCAAATCTGCAGGGTGCTTTACTGAGACAATACATTTCAGGAACAGTAAATACACCTGAATCCTGTCACACTTGGTTTTAGAAAGAAGTTATGCCCTGTTCACTTTCCAAGTCCCCTCTCCCCCAGGTGCAAAGCAGCCAAGCAGTTTTACAGAAAGCAATGTTGCAAGTTA